CTTCACGGAAAAAAATTTACGACCTAGTTCTTCTGGGCTGCGAACTTGCGAGCCCTCGTAAAAAATATTAACAAAACAAATTAAAAGTCGTATAAATAGAAACAAGAATAAGAAGATAAGAATATGGACTCTGTAACGCATACTTATTTATTATTATCAATCTAGATTATTGTACAATTTATCTCTTGTGGTGTTTACTAAAAGCAAACCGACATGAATGCCACTTGTCGTGTTTATTAGAAGAGTAAACAGATTGTAAAACAGTAATAAACAACAAGTCAAAAACAAATTGTACTTTATATGTATATGGGTGTTTATGTATATATATATATATATATATATATGTATGTTACAGGTTTGTTCAAAAAGGAAAAAGTTTTTCACTTTTTAATAAATGAACAGATAAAACAAGAATATTGCGTGGTTTGAAGATTTTTGACCTCAAAAGAAAACTAAATATTCAAACCTAACCTTCTTTGACAGATTACTTATATTTTTAACAATGTTTGTCTGCTTCGTAGTATTCTGTCCCTAACAACAACTTAAAAAAAATATATATTCTTTAAAATTATTTCTTTCTAGAAATTTAACGCTTTATGGCCTTTTAGCATTTACTTAGCCTAACTCTTGAAAAACTTGAGTACTTGAAAAACCGCGAAGCACGTTTGAAGACCGAACACCCTTTCTTTTTCTTTCCGTGGTATATCACAGATGTCATTTGTTTTCGTTACGCTTTACTACTTTTACAAACTGGCAAGCACATTGACAATCCTTAGGCCTAGGTGGTCTTTTTCTGTAAATTTTGTTGAAGTTTCTCTATTAACTGTGTCTAAAGATTGGTTTTACTGATTTAGAGTTAACGTCTCAGCCATTATCGTAAAAATGTATGATAAACTGCAAAGCACATGATCACCCCTGAAGGCCACAACTGCCTTTCTCTTTATTACGTTCTAAATCGCAAGTGCCTATTTGTTCTTTCTGTTCCACGACAATTTATTCCAGAACTTGTAGAATTGACTTACTGGTTCTACAAACTGCAAAGCACTTGATTACGCTTTAAGGCCAAATTGCCTTTTCTTTCTGTATTTTGTGTTATTGTTTCTTTATTGTTTATTTTTAACGAGTGCTTGGTTTAAGTACTTTTTTAGTGCCGACATCACCAACTTCAAAGAACATGATCTCGAATGAAAGGCAACTGCCTTTCTCTTTTTTACGTTTTAAATCGCAGGTATATACTTGTTATTTTTGTTTCGCGCTATTTGTTCAAGAACTTCTAGAATAATTCCTGGGCTTGCTGGTACAAACTGCAAAGCACATGATACATTCTTAAGGTCGACTAGGCTTTCCGTTTTTGTTAGAGTAATGATCAAGAACGCCCAAAAACTTGATAACGCTATAAAATAACGACATAAAATATAAAGTTTACAGCTCATATCAATGACAAGAAATTGTATTTTCTGATTGTCCCGATGATTTTTGCTTGGTAAATGACAAAAACAAATGCATGCCTTTCCTGGTCAGATTGATTTGCTGTTGTAGTTTCTTTATTCGTTTGTTTATTTATCTAAGTATTTAACTTAACTGCAAAACACGTTACCTTCTGAAGAAAAACAGTTTTTTCGTACTGGGTATACACGGGAGGTGTTTACAAGATTTTTAACAAATTTTAAGATTTATATATTCTATTTTCCTTAATTTTGTACGATGGACATTGAATAACAAGAACTTTGTTTTGTACAAAGTTCTTCAAAATTTTAAAATATTTGGGGACAGCATTTTCTCAGTATACACAAACATACCTAAGGAGTTTAAAACTGCAAAGCAGATGACAACATCGAAAATTCAAAAAATGTCTGTAAAAAAATAACGATAAAAGTTTTAAACGTTTTTATTTCCAATTCTAATAAATTAACGGGATTTTCTGCACATTAGATTTGGAAAAAAGATTTGACAATTCAAACTACTGACAAGGGGACGACGAGGACGTATTTCGACTAAATTTTTTTCGTGTTTCTACACTCCAAAATAGGCAACTTCTTACATATAGGCCCTGGGTATCGCAATTTTTTTTGTTAAAATTTTTAAATATTTTTATTTTGACTTTTTACTTACTCAAATCAACTATGTAATATACCATCATACAGCATTTTTTATGTACATGGCAATAAAGGTATAACAAAACTATGAAAGGTTATCAATAGCAAAAAAAAAAAATTATACAGACCAAATATTTTTCAAGAAAACTGTCATAAATTTTTTATTTGGTGAAAGTAGTATGAAATTTCGTTTTACCTACTCCAGAGACCCGTAAATATAAATTTTTGTTTGAATTTGAATTTATCGATTTTTTACCCCTACAATTTTTCCGTATTTTAAGAAGTCGTTCTCGCCATAACTGATTGAAACTGCCATAATTCAAAAACGGAAAAATTTTGTTAATTGAAATTTTCCGTTTTTTAATATTTTATTTTGCCTTTCGATTTATTCAAATCAACTATGTGAATGTATCAATTTAAAGCATTTTTTAAAATTTAGATTGCAATAAACATATAGTAAAACCTATCAGTCAATAGCCAAAAAAATTCTGCAAACCAAAAATTCATATTTAGGATTTGTAACAAGTTGTAGCTTAAAGGAAATTTCATATTAGTTTAACAATAAAATTATGATCTAGTTTACTTAAAAAAATATTTGGTTTTTAGAATTTTTTTGGTTATTGCTAAACTTTGACAGCTTTCACTATACCTTTATTGTAATGTAAACAAAAATGCTCTAATATGATATATGTACACACACATAGTTGATCTGAGCAAGTAGAAAGGCAGAGGAGCTTTTTTAATATTTTTATTTCGTCTTTCTTCTTGCTCAAATATTATTATTGTGAATACATCATTAAGCAGCATTGTTTGTTTAGATTGCAATAAACATAGAGTAAAAGCTTTCAATGTGTTGCAATAACCAAAAAATGTATAAAAACCAAATATTTTTCATAATTTTTAAAACTAATAAGAAATTTCGTTTTAGCTTATTAGAGCCCCCTAAATATGAATTTTTTGCAAGTAAACTATTCATAAATTTTTTTCGTGAAACGTATGAAATTTTTTACTTTATCAGTAACATAAAAAAATTATAAAAGCCCAATATTTTTCAAGTTAACTATGTCACAATTTTATCTGTGAAACATATAAAATTTCGTTTTATGTTCTACAGAGACTTCTAAATATACATTTTTTCTGAATTTAAATTTATCGATTTTTCTACCCCTAAATTTTTTCCGAATTTTGAGAAGTTATCATAATATCTGAATATTGAAACGGCTATAATTCAAGAACAGAAAATTTCGAAAGTAAATTTTCAGTTTTTTCTATATTTTCATTTTGCCTTTCTACTCCATTTCAAATCAAATTTCAAATCATTTTAAAACACTGTATTTAGATTGCAATAAAAATATGGCAAAAGCTATCAAAGTGATCAATAGCCAAAAAAGTTTCTACAAACCAAAAACTCATATCTAAGGGTCTCTAGAGGAACTAAAACGAAATTTCAAATTAGTTTTAAAAAAATATGCCCCCTTGCGCGTGTGGTGGGCACTCCCCCAAAAAAGTGGGCACTCTCAACACGACACGCAAGAATGGCACAATTACCCAGAAGATAAACACTTTGAGCCCTGAAGATGATCTCAATAAAGATCGAAACGTTGGTACGATAAAGAAAATGTTTTTCTCAAACCTACATCACACCAGACCGCATCTCACGATTTCTGAATAACTATTGATAAACTTTGTTAGCTAGTATATTTTTATTGCAATCTAAATAAAAAAAATGCTTTAAAAGGATATATAAACACTGTTGATTCGAGCAGGTAGAAAGGCGAAATAAAAACATTAAAAAACGGAAAATTTCAACTTTCAAATTTTTCCGTTTTTGAATTATGGCCGTTTCATCGGATTTCTGGTAACGTCTTCACAAAATTCGGAAGAATTTTAGGGGTAAAAAAATCGATAAATTATATTCAAACAAAAATTTGTATTTAGGAGTCTCTGGAGGAGCTAAATGAAATGTTATATTATCTTTTAAAAAAATTATGACCTAGATTACTTGAAAATATCTGCCTTTTATAAATTTTTGGTTTTTGATAAACTTTGATAGCTTTTAATACATTTGTATTGCAATTAAATTTTAAAAAATGCTGTTAAATGATATATTTACAGTTGATTTGAGCAAATAGAGACGAAATAAAAATATTAAAAAACGGAAAATTTTAACTTAAAAAAAAAAAAAAAAAAAAAAAAAAAAAAAAAACAATGGCGAAACCAGGGTCTATTGGTAAGAAGTTGACTACACGTGTTCGATATTTTGGAATTTAGAGTTGGAATTTGAAAAAAAAATTTGGTCCAAATCCGCGACCCACCAACTTGACCGTCTCCTTGTGATCGTTGGGCTCGAAACACTGCAAAGCACATGATCTTAAAACTAACGAATAAACTCGTATTTCTACATATTAACAATCTTGACTTTTTCTTTGCAGTACGTTGATAAAATAAATACCCCAACTGTCTCTTAATCAAATGGGTGATACTTTGCAGTTTATTCTTGTTGTTAATTATAATTAACAGCAAAGCAAATCCAGCCAGATTTATTTTTTACTAAAAGGCCTGTTAAGAAGACAAAACTTACAAAGTTTATACAAAAACGTGCTTTAATTTATAATAAAAATAGAAAAGTCGTAAAAAGTTAAAATTTTTTACTTGGGTTTTTGCTTCATAAAAACTAATTTTCAAATTGTTTTTCCCTCGTTTTAGTTTGATTTTTTTGCGAATAATTCCTTTGTTGTTTATTTGTAAATAGTTGCTTTCCCTTTTTAGTGTTAATCCTACTTGCGAGGGCTTGGGAAACTGGAAAGCCCCCGACAACTTGTAAATTCTTTTTTCCCCTTTTAAAGCACTACAGTTTGGATTTATTTGTCCGGAGGATTTTGTAAACGGTTTGAAAACACTCACCTTTTCGAGCAGCTGCTGCCCCTTGGACTTTTGACCTACGCATACGTCGTAAACGATCCCGCTTGGCAGAACGACGAAGCAGAGCATTTTGTTACTGGTTGGGCAAAAGGACGACGGCCACGAAATCCAAATCCATCCTCAGCCGGGTGCCGAGATGCTTTTATCACGATTGTCGAATGCGATTTCAGGAACGAGATCCGATCAGGAGCACAGACCGACTTGTTTTGACTCTCGAGAGACAGTGCTCTCGGCTCAGTCAACATGGCCGACAGACGGACGATAATCGATTCACTCTTTCCTATCGATACTCGAAACACCGACGAGAATCTTTTCAACAATAATTTTCAAAACCCATTAAAGATAATCGGTTCGTTTTCTTCCATTTCACTATCTTTTCAACATTTTTCTTCTTAATACTAAAATTTTATTTCACAGTTGTTCATTTTTATAGATAACTCAATACAAATAATTAAGAAACACTTGTCAGGATTAAAGTGTTAATAATTTAAAAACGACAAACAGCGTCATTTTTTACAAAATTGCTATTCCACCACATTTTTCTATGCTCGCTTTATTTATTTATTTTTTTTAAATTTGTTTATTTTTTATGAAATCAAAACAAACTTACATAATTTTGTTAATTTTGTTTTATACTTCAACAATTTATTCGATTCGTTAAGAATCGATTTTAAAACTACTTTACCTTGATTTGAAAAACTTCCGGTTTTTACACTTAAAAGCCAATGAAATAAGCCTTTAACTTGTTTTTTTAAACGGAAGAAACAGGTTTCTACAAACCTTGTGTCCGTACATAAATTAACATTCCCTGGTCACCAGGAGGAAAAGAAAAAAGCTATTTCCGTTTAAAAAAAACAGAGATGCATGCTAAAAATCAAGAAGAAATACGAGCAAGAAAGAGCGGAAAAAAGAAAGAGTGAAGGTCGAGATGGAGACGGTTAGGCGTTTGAGTGAGTATGTCAGTGTCAGGGTCATAACATTATTAGAGCAAGGTCATAGCCAGCGCGAAGTCCCCAGGAGAATAAGTGAAAATCACAATACCATAAGAAGGGTACTTCGGCTCTTCAGAGAAACAGGGCTTCCCAGTAGTAGGCCAGGACAGGGCCGATATAGGTCTACAAACGAGGGAGACGATAGATTCATACGTCATCGGTCATCAAAACCGCAGCATTAAGTGACATGAGATAAGAAATCTGATAAAACAAGTTTGATACGTTTTGATTTCCTCCAGGAAGAAGCCTGTAAGAAGAAGGCTCAGTGAAAATAACTTCAGGGCCCGGCACTCGGCTCGTAGACCTTCTTACAACACTCAGGAAATACTCAGGCTGCAATTCGCACGAAAACATGTGAATTGGAAGATAGGGAATGAATTCGCTTTACAGATGAGGTGTGAGTTGGTCTCAAGGCTTCAGATGGGCGTAATTTCATATGGAGACCCTCAGGAGAAAGGTACGCCCCCATGTTTAGGTGGCATTCCTCGGTGGGTGATTGATGTTCTGGGATGGCACATCCTTGTACGCCCGCACCGAATTGTTTGTTGTGTGAGGAAGATCTCCAACATCACACAGGTACTTACAAGACATAATCGAAGAACATGTAGTGCTATTTGGCCCCACACCGATGTATTGGTAACGGCTGTTGTTGAAGAATGGGAAAGAATTACTCCCGTAAAGTCAGCAGTGTCCTGTTAAGACCCGAAGTTTTATCCTGCTTCTGGTGTTTGCTAGAAGATTCTTGGAATGTTTATGGCCAAAGTTTTCCACTGTTAACTCATTACCATTTTGTCTATTTATCTAATATACTCATTAATAGTGTGAATCCCTATGCTACAGAAGAGTTCAAGACCTTATCAACGGTATGGCTTTTCCTTGCATGGGTGTCCGTTCTTTCGTTGCCATCTACTCCCATTGTTTTACATGTCCTGGTACCCAGCAGAGGCTGACTTCATTCTACATACCTAATCTATTTAGTTTAGTTTTGCAATTCAGCACCATCTTTAAGGTAATGATGTTTATGTCGTCTTTCGGAGCCAAACTGCCATAAATAAAATGATTAATGACAAAAAAACTAGTTCTATCTGTGAAAAACCGTTAATAGCGGTAAAGAAAGGTAGGGCTGGACCTACAGATACAATTTAGATGTGTCAGTAAATAAACAAATAAAAAATAGTATGTTGAGAGTCCTATTTTGCTTAAAACGATATACGTTGTTGTTTAATTTCTACGTATTGAATACTATTACATGCAATATGGTTTTTATTGTTGATTAAAGTTTACACTTGCAAGACGTTGTGTTGTCAGTCAATTTAGCCTATTATTATTTTATTTAATAAGATTTGCTTCTATTCCACTTCTTCGGAGATTTATTTTCCTGAGTGTAGGTAGATGTATTGAGAGTTGGGTCAGTAGAGAGGAAAAGAGATAGAAAAACTTGAGATAATTTGGTAAAGGCTAAAAAGGCTAAAAGGCCTTGATTGTCTTTATGTTGTCGATATTGTTATATTTACATAATAAAAATTTAAAAAAATAAGCAAAGGAGAAATCTCACAATTAAAAATTAATATCCATTTATTTATATAAAAAAGGGCAAGGATATTAAAAGGAAAAACTAGTTCCTTACTCCTCTAGTTTCAATAATGATAAATAAAACTTTATATGTAAATTATATCGTGTGAATAACTCAAAACGGCTCGATAATTATATAATAAACAGTGAAGATTTAAATTACTTAATATAGAATTCCCGATATTATATTTTGCAATAATCGAGGACTATGTCTTCAACGATCATCCTTGTCCGCCTAATCTCGCTGGTTTTGCCTGACAATCGCAATTTTAATTATTTGAAAGAACTGCAAGACCTGGTAAAATTTCACTGTACTTGTTGTATAATTGTTTAAATTTCGACTTATTTCAATAATTACAGCTGCATATTTTAGCTTCTTAATTATCCCTACCTAATATGATAAGTTAATGAAAATAAATTATCACCCGACAACTGCCAGACCCAACGGACACAGTGCCGGTTCAGCATGTGTTCACCAACCCGCAGAACAACTCCCATCACCAACTTAACTAAATTAAATAACAATTGTTCTTCGGAAATTTCCGGGTATAAACCTCTTGAGTAACAAGAAGAAAATGTTTTCTTTTTATTGTAGGTCTTGAACGTATGTTGACTTGGTTCGTGCAATAATGGGTTAAAAGGGTTAAATGTTTTGGCTCATAATAATTATTTTGTAAACACTTATCACTTATGGACAAAATTAATGAACCACCCTTAAATATTAATGTATTTAGGCATATTCATATTTTGCATACAAATATAGGTGTTTGTAAAACATAAGACATTTAAAAATAAAATGTTTCTTACCATCTTAATTCTTCAATATANACAGAGAGATATATATATATAGAGAGAGAGAGAGAGAGAGAGAGAGAGAGAGAGAATAAATTTTTAAAATAGATATTTTTTATCCCCTTTAATACCGAGTATGCCACCTTTTGCATGACTGACGTTTGTTATTTGCCTTTGCATTCCTTGGTTTCTGATAAAATCTTGAGGAATTCTTTCACATTCATCAAGAACAGCCGTTTCCAACTCTTCTAGGGTGATAGGACCTGGGTTTTGTCGTATTGCTCGACGGTTAAGTTGGTCCCAAATGTGTTCGATTCTGGTCAAATCAGGACTCGAGCTGGCAACATCAAACACTCAATTCCCACCCTATTCAAGTAGTCATCCACAAAGGTTCTCCACGGGGTCTGGCATTAACCGGCATTAGCAAGAATCCCTCACCGATGTGTTGGGCAAATGGCACTACATCTTTGATCATGTCTTCTAAGTACCTCTGTGAAGTTAGAGATCTTCCTCCGACATCTTTACTGTGGGCTTCCAAAGAAACTCTACTTCCAGAACACCATTGACCCACAGAGGAATGCCACCTGACGAACTGCACAACATGGGGTGTACCTTTCTCCTGTGGGGTCTCTGTATGAAATCACGCCGATCTGAAGGTTTCAGACCAGGACATGTGGGAGCAGAGGGCAACGAGAGAACGGATGCCCATGCAAGGAAAGGCTATACCGTCATTAGGTCCTGAACCTTTCTGTAGCATAGGGATTCACACTATCAATGAGTATATTAGATAAATAGACAAAATGGTAATGAGTTAACAGTGGAAAACATTGGCCATAAACATTCCAAGAATCTTCTAGTAGACACTAACAGGATTCTTAACAGGACACTGCAGACTTTACGGGAATTAATGTGACATCTGCCCGAATCACGTCCGTTAAATGGCTTTGCATTCCTTGGAAGAGGTTTCTGAAAAAACCTGATGAATTCTTTCCCATTCTTCAACAACAGTCGTTACCAATACTTCTAGGGTGTTAGGACTTGGTATTCGTCGTTGTACTCGTCGCTTAAGTTGGTCCCAAATGTGTTCGATTCTGGTCAAATCTGGACTTCGAGCTGGCCATACCAAGCACCCAATTCCAACCTCATCAGGTAGTTATCCAATACATGCTCTATGGGGCTTGGCATTATCCTGCATTAGCAAGAATCTTTCCCCGGTGTGGGCCAAATGGCACTACATGTTCTTCGATTATGTCTTGTAAGTACCTTTGTGATGTTGGAGATCTTCCTCACACAACAAACAATTCGGTGCGGTCGTACAAGGAAGTGCCATCCCAGAACATCAATCACCCACCGAGGAATGCCACCTAAACATGGGGGCGTACCTTTCTCCTGAGGGTCTCCATATGAAATTACGCCCATCTGAAGCTTTGAGACCAACTCACACCTCATCTGTAAAGCGAACTCATTCCCTATCTTCCAATGTCGTCCAATTCATATGTTTTCGTGCTAATTGAAGCATGACCATTTTTCTGAGATGTGTAAGAAGAGGTCTGCGAGCCGAGTGCCGGGCCGCCCTGAGATTATTTTCGTAGAGCCTTCTTCTTACAGTCCTAGAGGAAATCGAAAAATTTCGCAACTTGTCTTATTAGATTTCTTATTTCATTTCCCCTAATGCTGCGGTTTCGTCGAGCCTGATGACGGATGAATCTATCCTCTCTCTCGTCTGTAGTCCTAGTTCGTCTCTGTCCTGGCCTTCTAATGTGAAGCCCTGTTTCTCGGAAGCTCCGAAGAACCTACTTAAGAACCTCTACAATAAGAAGAAGAGTGATTTACATGCCTGGCGACTTCGCGCTGGCTTTATACTTCCTCTAATAATGTTATGACCCTGACACTGACGTACTCACCAAATACCTAACTGGAGCCATTGAGAAGGTTTAAGAATAAGAAATTTAAGAATATCAAATAAAATCAAGAAAGGAAGAAGATTAACTGAAAGCGATCTCCAGGCGTATCAGAATGGAAGGGCATAATGGTACTTTTTGAGCAAATGGGATTAGTCAGTACTAAAGTAAATAAGGGAAGTAAAGAAACCATTATTTACTGTTTATTTGGACGATAGCTCCTAATTTCTAATGTGAAAAGATAATGGATTTAATTTTAAACTATTTAAATTGAGTGGTGCATACAATTTGTCCATCAGTGTATTATATTTTAAAACATTTTGTGCCTACTCCTACTAAGAAGCTGAATAGGTGAATAAAACATGGATATGATTTAAAGAAGGGATTATTGCAAAAAGGCAAATATATCTTATGCTTTCAAAATTATGTCTTTATCCCTGAAAGTATGTTATGTTATGTAGAACTCGCGTAGGTGTTTATGTCAAGACAATTGGGTCTGACGTGAGTTTTATTTTTGGAAAAGCCAGTCACTCGCCCTCAGCACTGTCGTAAAGAAAGCATTTCCCGTTTTCCCGTCGACCCAGGATTTAAAACGGGCTCGCCCACGGGGCGCGGGACGCCCGGGAAGGAGAAGAGCGAAAAAAGGATAGGATTCAAAAGAAGAAAACCGGTTTCTGGGGGGGCAGACTCGAGTGGGGCTGCCGGACGCACAGTCGCCAACGAGGACCGAACCTGGATAGGGCCGAGGTGTATCGAAAGAGGAAAACAAGGCAGGCAGTGGGGCTTTTTTCCGACTGAAAACAATTTTTCCTGGCTCCTCGAGCCAGAGGGAAAACCGCTTTGGAACAAAAACGAATTTACGACAAAGATCAGACGATTTTCTATAACACCTGCGCCCACGAAGGTTGTCCGTCTCTCCTGACCAAATCTGGCATTTTAGCTGTCAAGTCTGCTTTACACGAAGGTCGGTTTTTCCTTTGTTTCTAGTTTCCTACTCTTAGCTGTCACATTTCTTATAATTCCATATACCTACGATTACTATTTGACCGGTTTGCACTGCTTTCAATATAATATATTGCGATGTAAGATCTATTTTTTGGATAGAACATACATGCAAGATATTTATCTAAATGTGATTATACAAGTTCATTTATTTGCATTGTACTTCTTGCTGTTATGTTTCATTTGGTCAAATATGCTTTTATGTTTGTAGGGAATGAGATGTCAATTGATATAAGGAGATCACATTCCCGCACGAGTGATCTCAGGCCGGGCAGGGCCGTCAGTTTCAACAGAGACGTCCACGTCAAGAGATACGGTCAGTTCGGATTCGCCCTAAGATTCAAATTCGACTCGTTACCATCTTTTTTCTTCTTTTTTTTTGTCTTCTGTTTTACAGGCAACAAGAGGCTTGCGAAGATCGAAGAGAAACCCGAATCGGAGATGAGGTCGAGAGGAAGAGCGGACGGCACGGAGGACAGACCGAGGCGCGAGGATCCCTCGGAACATGGTGCACCTCCAGCCCAGAAGGACTCGATCACCAAAAAGATAAAGCAGTTCTTCACGATCAACAAGAAGCCCAACGACGACGTACGAACTAGATACAAGGAATACAAAGGAGAGGTGAAGCAAAAAACTTTTAAAGTCAATTGTTAATGTCTTTTGAATAGACTTCATGAATCTTGTTTTGTTAGTATATAATGACAATTTTACACATTTTTGATGTATGAGAAGGATGTCCATGTTTGATTTTTATCGAATGACAGTTTTGTCATGAAGAGTAGGTAAATTTTAACTTTGAGTTTGATTTAACCTAAAGTGCAGGGTTTTTAAATGCGCTTTTGACATGAGACGACGAAGAGTGAAAAAATGTGGGGGTTTCTCGCGTCTCGTTTTCCTTTTAAGGCGTTGACCCAGAAAAGCGTGAGGTCGGCCTCCGCACAGGGGGACAGGTCGAAGGACGCACGATGTCGAACCCTCTCGACTCCTGCAGCGGCGATACGTCGGTTCTTTTGTCTTTTAAATGATCCCGGAGCCCCGGATTTAAAAGATTCGGGTTCGAAAAGCAATTTCTGAATCATTTCTCGTCTCGAACCCGCGGGCGCGACCGGCGCTCCTTTTCCTCCTTGGCAACGCTTCCGGCAATTCACCATCTACCTTCTTTAAACGCGACGTTGAAGTTTGACAGACGTATAGAATCAATTTGATGATTCAAACGCAAATGGAAATCTTCCCATTGATCTGTAACCAACGCCAATTTGGACGTCTCAGAAGAGGTAGTTAACATGTCCAATAACAATTGTAACACTGTTCAACATTTTATGCAATACACAAGGAGTGCCCTTTCAAATCCTTCATTTTACTCTTCACTAATATCCTGCTAATTATATTCACATTAAGACGTCTTGAAAAATAAAAAAAGCGTAAAGTACCTACCGAATCATATAGCCCAAATATCCAACTTAGTCATTTCTAAGTTATGCATCCAAATTTCAACTGAGAAATTCGTGTATCGGCGCCTAAGTATCAATAGAAATGGACCACGACCTTTCAAAACGGTCTGTGATCTGTTCAAAGCGGTATGTGAACAATATAAACCTGCATACGAAATGATATTCATAAAGGCCATCCATGGATCATATGATTCACCACATCAGACACTTTTTCATTTTGAAGTTAAGAAAAATCGTCCGTGATTAATTTGAATCAAGACAATTGAAAAATCTTTATCACTTTAATAACATTTTCATTATAAGGGTTGATTACATTTTAAAATGAATATTTAGCTGTTCAAAAATGTATATGTACTAGTAAGTTTGAGGCAGCCAGGACCCAGTGATGAGTTGTAGCGCTATGGATGATGATGAGTTTAGTTTGGTGGTTTCTGATCGTCCTGACGAATGCGATTCAAAGTATGGTTGTTTCCATATATGTATGTCCTTTTTACAGTACCTTCCTTTTTTCCGGATCACATCTGAAGTCTTAAAGAGAAAAACAACGAGAATAAGCGGACCAGGCAAGTTCATGACACAAGGCAGACCTCAAAAAAATAATTTGTATTCCTCAATTCCTAAGGATTGAGAGAAATCGTCTGTTTTTAGGTTAAAAAAGTTATGTACGTTGAATTTAACTTTTTAACCATCGCGCACAAACCTTGGTACAACTCTACTGGGGAAGAGACTGACAATAGTGGTTTTGCTCTTTGTTCTAAATTTATGTTGTGGTGGTTCGAATCATCCTCGCCTGCCTGTTCTTGCTGGTTATCAGACGCGTAGTATCTTCATTGGTTGGCTGTGTGCTTTTATGTCAGTCGCGTCCTTTTGTAAGTTTGAAAAATGTGTAAGAATAAACAGGTCGACAAAACCATACTAATATGCAGTAAGTCAAGGATTAAAGGCCGTCTAACTACATTATTTATGATGTGATCGACGGAACGACTGTACGTGAACGATCTGCGAGATGTCCATGTGCCAAACATGTCAAACTGCTTAGGAAGGAAATTCATAGGTTTTCGAATGCTTTACGTGTTACTTATTGATATGTTGTTAGTTGAAACATAGAAAAGAGCCGAGTTGTTTGTTTTTCTTTGTTTTTGTTTTTAAGTGCCTCTTGGAAATACTTTTGTGAAATTTAATTCTCTTCGGCCATCTTTTTGCTCCTGCCTTTCTTAACCTATATCTTTTCTTTCTTTTGTCAAGCAACTAAAACGTACTATCAAATATCAAAAGAGTTTACGAAATAACACACGGTTATGCTTGTGCCGAGTTCCAAACATAAAACGACCACTATGTTAACATATAACTCGATTAACACGACTTTATCAAAAGAAACACCCTGACCTACCGCGACGACTCTCATTAGGGTATAAATAAAAGAGGCGGCCACAAGGCCTTCTGCACGTCCACCTGAGTTGATCTATTGTTTTCCTTTCATGTTACACTAACCAGCTTCAGGTTGTTAATCAACCTCCATAGCCTTGCTTAGAGGCTTCATAGTGTATGATCATCTTTCCGGCTCTTCCTCTTCTAGTTGCACGAATCTATACCTACACAAACCGTCAAAAAAAAACATGAAACGTATTCTGTAGTCGCCTTTCTCTTCCTGGCTGTATCTGCACGGTGTTTCTTTTGTTTGTGCTACCATCCGGTGCATGTGCCTTCTAAGACGAAAGTGCTCTGTCAGGAAGTAGTCTTGCGAATGGCCATTCTACGAATCTCTTCGCGTGCCTTTTGCCTGGGGTTTGTTCCACCAGGTTTTGAAGTCATTATAGATCCATTTTGGTGTGGTATGGTGCTAGGCCACAATAGGGTTCAGTGCCTAGAGAATTCGTATTGGCTCGTTTTTGGGCCAACATGTCCACTTTCTCATTGCACCCGCATGCCCTGGACCCTGCCAGTATCAGATCATTTGTGTTACTGACTTCAGCCAGGGGTTCCATACAATTTCATACGGTTTTCGCATGTTGCTAAGGCCTCCAGACTTCTCATAGAAAACGGCTATCTGTCTGGAATGAGTTCTTTGCTATTTTTCATTCCCTGGCGCAGTGTTGAATTGCTACGATTTCATACTGGAAAACTGTAGCGTATTAACATAAGTTTCAAGTCAATTCGGTCTTCGGATTCATCCCGAGGACTCCAGCTCCCTTGCCTCTACCAGTTTTTGAGCCGTCACTACCAGTAGGATTTTGCCTTCAGAGGTATTCCTTTGGCCATTTCTTCCTTTTCTGGTATACTTGTTGGTGAAGCTATATTTTGGAGCTGTAGCATTGATTGGCATGTCTAGTATGGCATATGCTAGTAACTCCTTCCTCAGTTTCCATTGTTCGTTAACATGGCCTAACCTTGCAGATGCTCCGGCTTCTCTTTCGGAATATGGAGGATTGGAACGTTTAACAAGACCTCCAAGGCCTCAGTTGGCGTAGTATTCATGGCTCCAGTAACACTAAGGCAAGCTTGTCTTTAAGTGCCATTTACCTCAGCGCCTTAGCCTGCAAATTCTTGACTACACCACGACCCATATGTCATGTGGCATTGATCTTATGACACAAGTGTAGAGCCATAGGGTCATTTTGGGGTTACGGCTCCATCCTTTTAACACACCTCCCCCAGGCAATGTCGGCTGTTTGGGTAGTTCCAAGTAGATGTGGATTACATGTAAGCCACTGGACTAGTGTGACTTCTAGATATTTAGATTCTTTGGAGAATGGAATCGTTGTTCCAGTAGACTTGACTTCCCCCCCCCCCAATGTCGAAATGCTTTTTTCTGTCAAAAGCTATTGATCAGGGACATGACATGCCACTACCTTCAATCCTTATGACAATTCTGGTCTGAAATACTTTGGCATCTAATATGTACTGCAACAATAACTGTAAGACAAGAAAACGTAAGAATAAAAAGGTGTTGAAGGATCAACTTCTTGCTTATAAGATCATTTGTGTTTAATTTCCTTTTCTTTTAGGAATACGACCGCGGAAGGAGAAGGGATTCGGCTCCCGATTCGAAAAACTCTTGGTTCAGGTCGTTGGAGAGGTCGAAGAGGACGGATAGGGTAATTGTGAAACATGATCCCACCTCCAATTGACGTTAGACTAACATCCAGAGCTTTTAGGACGATCCTGAACGCAAGAACCTGCGTTACTTCGGTGAATCGGACGCGGAATCCCGGCGGTATCTGACGACGGAACGCCGCCGAGGACGCCACCAGAGCGGGGTCGACGTCTCGACGACAGACGACGCGACGGACGCCGAACCCTCCCGGTACGACAGCCTCATCTATCTTCATGCGCCCCGCGTCCGAGACATACCCAGCCCAAGGCAGAAGACACTGGAGAAAAAGAGGCATCTGACCCGTTCCGTGAGCCTCGTCGGGCCGTGGACACCTTCGCACCGCCCAGTTAGCAGATCAGGTGAGAAACCTTTTTTCCTTTGGAAAATCTGAGAACACCTGGTACATGTTGGATTCGTAAAGTAACGATCACCATCACGTCATATGAGGACTTGTTCTATATGAAAATTAAGAAACACCATACACCTTTGATGTTTCAGTGACTTTAGTGACTAGGTGGATATCAAAATCGGTTTCTCACTTAATTTCTCTGACGTATATAAATACATAAAGGAAAATTGTTCCCCCCATAAAGACTCATAAATCCACAAGATATTCCTTTGAGTAATGAATTCCATCTAAGATACCTTCGCCCGTGAAAGCTCGCCCAGCAGAAAAGCTTATTCCGTTTATTTTGTGCGTGGTAATTTTACTTTGTTCTAATTAAACCCGTTTTGATTTTTAGGTGCGACACTCGTAGATTCCGGCACCCAGACGATCTCCAGGACGACAAAGGACAGAGTCCCGAAGCCGGATAGGCATAAACTCCGGGAGTTAGTCTTCACGGGGCCGCCCCTCGATTCATCCTCGAACTTCAGGGGAAGGGTGTAGGGCCCAGTGGTCGTGTTGCGACGTTATCTAAACAATCTAATCGTTATTCAAAATAAATTAAAAAATTAATATATTTAATTTAAATTTATTTAATGAAATGTCAAAACTAAATGGAATTTTTCAAAAATAATCGCTGTACAGAAAACAAAAACACTCTTAAAATAATATTTAATTTTAAGTAGATCTTTTTAATTTTTTATACTAGAGGATAGTAAATTATTGCCATAAATATAATTATGTTCTAATTTATTTAAACATTTCCTCATTAAACTGTACAAGCTTCCCGGCCACTTCATTTTAAAATAATTATGTTCCATTTGAGCTTTGGACAAACAATTTTTTTATTATTTCTCTCTTGTCATAAAACTTAAAGTTTGACGAACATGGATAAATGATTATCCACCCATTTATGGTTTTGTTTTGCGTCTTGGAATGAGATAAATAAACACCAAACGAATCGAAAATTTCCAGTTAATTTTTAAATGTAATCGGCATGAAATACAATTTTTTATTTAATTAATTAATTGACAAAGCTGGGTATGGTATTTGGTGGGGGGGGGGGTCTACACTGCCAAAATGACTGCGTTTGATCAAAAACCTTTTATTTATTTATTTTTATTATTATTCGAGGGCATTTCAACTACGAGGTTATATGAACCCTCATTGTAATTTGTATTTGTATTGAATTTGTAAAAAAAATGCTAAAAAGCCCATTTTAAAGTTCGTCGATTTTGAATGCGGGCCGTCGGATTCGAACGCGGGACCTTGGCCTTAGCTATGAGCACTATATCAACGACTAAACTAACACCCCTAATCAAAAACCTACAACTTGGTCGTTTCGGTTTATTTGTTAATTTAATTTGTAGTTTTATGAATTTTATTATTGAAGTATTAGTTATTAGTAATTATTACTGACGCAAGTTTTGTGTTTATAGCATTTGGCTTGGGTCTAAACGTCCAAAATCGGGGACTATCTTCGTAGGATAACAAACCAATCTTACCTGAGCCTTTGATTCTCTTTATTCTTATTTCTACTTTCAATTATTAACTTTTTAATTGGTATTGTTGATTCTTTAGCCCAATACAATTTTGTTTAAAGGTTTATGAGTAAACTTAAAAAACAAAATTGGAGTCCATCTACAAGTATTAAAACCATACAAAAACGATTTCGTTTGGTTCTATTAATTTTGAATTTTATCTTATCATTAGTTTAAATGTCGTATTTGCTGTCTATTGTGACAACTTCAGTGTTAATATTAACGTTCAGGCAACATTTGCAACTATTTCATGTAACAATTAGCGCAAAAATAGGTAGGATAGTTTAACGGCCTTTCTTGAAGTGATCATTGACATTTGACGGCAGGTTATAGCTTGTAGGAAATGTACCTACCAAGGACATGACTTTAATAAAGGACACGCCTTTGTAAATACCTAAGATCTTGCAATACGTGCACTCTCATTAATTATTTCCTTGTTATATGTTTTACCGTACTATTTTTGTTATGGACCTGCTACCTCCAAAGAACCGTGAATCTATTTATTATTAAGTCTATTTACTATTTCACTACTTACTATGTCACTATTAGTCTTTTTACAATTTCACGTATCTTTCTGATTTTATCCTTATTCTTAGTCGTTTGATTTTTGAAAATACATGCACTTACAAACTAGGATATTTGAAATATTATTACAAAACAAGTTATTTGTTGAGAATTACTAAATTGTAAGTTATCTTTTATTTTAAGACAGAAAATACCTCCCGCCTTCTGATTGATAGCCAACTTTGAATCCCTTTAAACAAAATCAAGACCATAATAAAAAGACACTGTTCATAAGATACTTCAATATTTCATTGAACGAGTTCGATATACACTCAAAAGACAAAATATATGTCTGTCTTTGACTTGCAAACATTAATAAAAATCGCGAAGCGTAAAATTAAAATAATGATCAACTTGTTTGTGCACAAATATAAGTTGACGGATTTTCCTTCCAAATGTACAAGACTGGAATGGGTCTAATGTACTCGGCAGTGGGCTCTGAGTTCTCAGACCCAACGGTCTGTCTTTGGGTGTTGAAATGGGATTAATAAAGATAATAAACCTCATCGTTTAGTAATGCCTGATCCATGGTAATATTAACTGTATGAAGTTGCAATACGGGAGAATGATTCAAACGTAAGAGAAAGTGTAAACGCTGAGTTCCTGGTTGATGAAAAGGAGAAGTGTCATGTACTTGAACCGCAATATTCGACGCAAGGATTTTTTGCAGGGGTGATGAAGATTACCCAGACTTTATGTGAAGAATCCGGGTAGCAGCAACAGCCAACGGGTGGAATAAAAGAGGATTCCTAGCTTGAACCTCGAGGAGGAAGTTAGTGATTGGTTCGAACTGCAGGAAAAAAGAGTTCACTGCCAAAAAAACTGTTAAACGAATTCGAAGCGAGCTTTTCATGGCTATATAAGGCCTACTTGGCCATTTCGCGTAGAAGACAAGGAAAAGAAGAGAACATCATCTTTTACATTAATCTGATATGCCAGAAAGGAAAAAATTTACGATTGTCTTTAGCAGGCGTAACCATGAATGGAAATGGTGTTAAGGATGAGTATGTCAAGATATTTCTGCTACAAGTTCTGTCAATATAGTTATCTGAATAGAACTATCTTTTCCAAAATGTGACCCTTTGCCAATTCTTTCAGACGTCACAATGTTCCACCGTTCTTGGGGTGGGTCTTGTCTAGCGTCAAAATAAATGGTTGAATATTTAGCAAGAATTAAAAGAAATCAAAAGGCTCGTTCAGTTGGCACTGAGGACTCTCATGTTTCAAACAAGTCCTTCAGAGCCTCTGCGAGTTTTCTTTCTTTTTCTGACCTTTCGTGCGTATTTTGTTTTAAACTGCTGCCATTCGAGCGTACGGATCTGGATACTGACTCTCTACTTTTAAATCTATACTACGTCGATATCCTAAATTGCTAGCCTCTCGCTGATACCTCAGGTTGTCAAAAACAGAATATAAACAAAACATAGAATACATCACCACAAACATAGAAGTCTGGCCACCTTCACTGATCCAGAGTACTCAATATCATCAGGGCGGGGTTGAACACCCATTCCTTTCACGCTAATACATTACATTCATTTCAATAAATTAACATAAACACAACCCCGATACAAACATAGAAGTCTAGTCCCATTCACTTCCCGAAGTACTCAGATTCCTCCGCGTTGGGTCAAACCCACTCCATTCTCGCTAATGCATTAATATCAAGTCAACACAGACACAACACTTACACATCTCAAAATTTTTTAAAATTTATTTCAGTCTTATTTATTAGATTTTATATTATTAATATTTTAACGTACTTCTTCAAGGGTACCTTTAAAGCCGACCTCACAACGCGTTGACATAAGGCGGGCATTTTGTAAAGCAGTGTGTTTTGATTGTGTCCACGAAACTGTGATGAGAACACAGTTTTTTTTAAACAAAATTTTATAACTAACTCTTCGACAGGGTATATCAACTAGATCCACTACATTTCCACACCCCGATCCACTGAAGAACCAATGGCAATCCAAGCGCTAGTTTGGTTATCCAGGTTACGGCGCATAATCAGATTGGTCGGATATGGATTCTCAACAGCATCAGAAAAAATTAACTATAAAAATAAATAAATCACAGCATGATGTACATCAGTGCTGACTCATTTGTGACTAAGCAATCACGAGTGAGAGTTGGTTTTTCGTCTTCTTCCATCCTCGCTATTGGGAAGACAACTATAGCAGAGTGTCATATGTGTTCCATTCGACTGCATTCCATCAAAGCTGTAGATTACTGGTGCGACGTTTGGCGATTTCATCTAGAAGAATTGATTTTTCGTATGCCATTACCCTTGATGTCTATGTAAACTCGATGTTTTATAACTTTGTATCGTTGTTCTCTCCTTCTTAAGGCATTAAGTTCGTGCTCTGACTGTCTCGTCGGCTGGTATGATCAAGTCCAGCTAGGATACCTTTACTTCCCTTCACGTCCTTACGTCTTTTTGAGTTTCCACATTATAATGAGGTAATATTGGGCCTTAACTCCAATCAATTATTCCTAGTGGGTGTCTTTTCCACAAGGCCATCCCATTTTGGTATGGATTTTGCTCATCCCTACACAAGGGGTTGCTGAATGGCCAAGTCGTTTCGGCTTTGAGTTATGCTTCTTTTAGCACACTTTTACCACTTTTTTCTGAATTGGAGTTTCTGTTTACTCCTCTCCTTTGGTTTCTATCCTGGACTTTTTGTTTTTTTAAATTTGAGTTGAAATAACAGAACTTTTATTTTCTTCATTTATGTGGAATCCAGTCAGAACACCAACTCGGCATAATACCACAAACTACTAACTGAGATCACGTGGTATCAGAAGGTTCGTCACAACTTTTAGCCAGTTGGTCTGGATTGCACAACACCTTTACCATAAGACTGGAAAAAGAAAGGCAATCAAAGCATAAAAAGCAATATTATGTGCTTGGGATTTTTCGGGCTACATCGTTCTGGGAGATAACGTCTTTAGCCTTCAGCGTTTGGACTTTTTTGGTTGGGGCATGGAAGTCGGAAGAACGCTGATAAGATGAAAGTAAGTTGTACAATGGAATTAAGCGATTGTAAGTTTTTGGGCACATCATTCTAAGATCACCTCATCATCCTACTCACGCCCTACAGATTTCACTCTCTAAGGTCACACGGATTCAGAAAACCAGAGAGGTATTATCACTCTTGATAATTTTAACGAATAGGCTAATATTTGCTCATAAAACTCCTTTCTGCAAGAAGAAAAGAAAGAAAGAAGCTGGTGAGAATTAGTAAGAGTATAAAAGGGAGTATGAATCAATAAATACCCAATACCATCCTTCATGCCTAAACTTGGCAGTTCACAATAGTCAAACTTTTGGAAACGATTACTCTCTCTGATCTCATATAACCCTTCCTGTGTTCTAGTGGGGACTAGTCTTGAAAATGAAAAAACAAAAAACTTATACAACAGAAAATAGAGGAATATGTTCTTAATACGCAAGGACCAATACAATTGCAACACCTTGATAACAGCATGTCCTTTAATCTCGGAATCTCGGTCTCTGAACAACAGCGGAGAAGGTCGATTACGCGAAAGAGAGTCATATGGATTCAGAAAGGTATTCTCATAGGTATCATTCTTAATAACCTTTAAACAATGACGCTTGTAGAGTAAAGGAGAAAGGGGTTTGGGAGTATGTCTCACTATGGAATGTCCTCTTCAGCCTACTCGTACTATTCCATGCCCAAACTGGTACCAAGGCCTGTGGACGATTAAACGTTTTGCGTTAAATAGATTTTGTTGAAATTGTGTTGCCTTGCTGGTTAATCACCTTTTAGACCATTTTTGGCAGAAGGTTTACATATTTTTATAATTAATAAGTGTAATTGTTAAATTGACCTATTGATGAAGAGTGATGCCGAGCAAAGGATTATCGACAAAATCCTCGGAGTTGATCTTTTCTTTTTCTCCAAGTGTTTATCATTTCAAATTTGATAGAGAATTTGCAAAATTTACACCCCTTCTGGGCGGAAAATGCACTCCGGGTCGTCCCCCGGAATCAATATAGGTCGGAATTGCGCATGCACGTCCCCTTCTCTGGACACTCCGGGACGTTGGGCGATTTGTAAATAAATCCCAGTCCGGAGCCTGTGCCACTTCCACGTCCCTACAGGATTTTTCCGATCCCGGAAAACAGCGGGGAAGCGCGGAAAGACGGACTAGGGCAGAGAGATACAATGAAAATACTCTTCTGGATCATACTCATATCGAGTAAGTATTGACCTTCGGGTGGCGGTCGTGATTGACATGAAGTCGAGACATCGGAGATGAATCAATCGTTTGAGATTATCCCCTTAGAATGAAAACTGGGATAAAACGCTTGTCTTTGTCGGTGACAGTTAAAGCACAAACAATTCAAATGCTGCTACCTAAACTAAATTTAACTTAATTTCAAGTACTGCATTAATTAATTCCCAAAGATGTTTTCTCAATATCAATAGATTCAATGTTTTTTCAAGTTTACTCTGTTATCACTGTAATTAGAAAGTAGATGTAAGATCTTGCATACTTTCTAAGTGTATTTATATGTGATTTCTTTTGTCGACTTATCCAAATGTTTGACGATAGTAAAAACATTCAACATGTGAATATGCTTCCTATTGCTGAGAAATCTATGAAACACAAAGTAAACGACAAATTGAGCACATGCTTTATTTATTTTTACGATGGTTTGAAACAACAGTGCCTATGTTATTTTTGAAAGGAAAAAGCACATTTGTAAGTACTTCGGGTTCGAAATCAGTACAACTGAGATTAAGCGGGTATGTATTGTTTTTGAAATTATATCAAGAGATTACCCTTGTCAAAATTGGCAAGCTTGGGCAGTTTTGAAAAATAGGCCTATATTTTGTTATTATTCTCTAGCAACATTACAACTGTGACATCCCAACGTGTTTTATCGTTTCCCGTGTAATTTTTATCCAGCTAATCCAGGATTAACTGACACACGGGGTTTGACCGTTGACGTTGTAGGTGTAAATAACTTACACGCGAAAGTGGAGAGAAACAGAATAAATATCAAAGGACATAGAATTCTTAACCTGATAACTAAAAAATTCTTAAATCATTTGTTGCCTGATGTAATTAACCAGAAAGAACTTTGGATATGTTAACTATTATATTAACTACATAATATATAGATATATTAATTATATAATATTATTGGATATATTCAATTTTGGAAAATTAACAAATGAACTGGGGCTACTTTGGAGATTTTGTGTATCCAGTTAAAAGATGTAGATGTTTTCTTTGCTACTTGGCTTATAGGGGCTGTTCTTGACAGTACTCTTTCTATTGCTTCCTTTAAGTTCATCTATCATTTTTTGTTTTTAGGTGTACTCTGCGACGATTCCGAGGACTACTCGGGCGAGAACGAAGACGATGCCAAAGTCTACAAAAACCCCAGAAACTCGCCCAGCGTCGAGTGCCCGAGGGACGAAGAGCACGCCGAGTTCCTCGTAAGCGTTCGTCGACCAAAGACTTTAGAAACTCTTCATTGTAAATTTCGACAAGGATTATCTGCTGGTGACCTTGGATACGAGTTTGATCTCCTTATATTTTCATAGCTCTCGCATCTGAAAGGCGGGCAATTTAGTTTTAAATTGGCTTGAATTGAGTGCTGACATTGATTCATAGCTGGCTTTTTAAGCCGAGAATAGGCACGGAATTATTTAATCTAACTCTCGCTATATCTTAAGAGTGGGCCGAAGGATTCAATGATTTTTCACTTCAATATTAGCAGTTCATTGGTTGCCTATTTAAACAAAGAAAGAAGAAGTCTTAATATTTTGAACATTCTGGATCAATCAGTTAAAAATCAGGCTTTGGTTTGGCTGAAATCGAAAGAAGCAAACATAAAAAGGATGGCGAAACCAGCAAGAAAGGGAGTACTAAGACGATCAAACTACATACTCCAAACCATCTAACTCAAACTTGATTATATTGAATTTGATACTTGCACTTCGTATAGGTTTCATTTGGTCGTTTCTTACCACCAATATGATTGTGCCAACCTTCATTCATGTCTACCGCGATACGGCCCTCTGTCGCTGAAAATGTAATAATAAACAAGATTAAAAAGAAGTGGGCCGGATGGGCAGAAAAGTTCTCACGCATCAAGAGCACTGTCGATAGAAGTCCCTCGGAAGATCTGACTAGTGGGATCATCCTCACCCGACTAAGAACAGGCCATGGTGGCACACAGCCATTTACTTCTGGGTCAAATCCCGCGTTTGTGTCCAGCATGACTAGGGATAGGGATAAAAGAGATGGCCACAAGGCCTTCTGCACCTCGACCTCCTTGTTTCCATCCCTGTTTTTTATAACTCACTGGGCCACTTGAGATGTTAAACAACCTGCCTAATTCGACTCCTTAGTGTAGGATTTTGCTTGTTTATTTTCCTATCCTAGTTGCAAGAATCCGCACCTACATTAAAACATAAAATGTGTTCTGTGGTCTCCTCCTCTTACTGGCGGTATCTGCACAATGTTTCTTCTGTTTGTACTCCTATCCGGTGCGTGTGTTTTTTTAAGTGGAAGTGCCCTGCCAGGGGTTCAACCAGAATCCTGGTTCGGTTGCGGTTGCCTTCCAATAATTAATTTGTAAGTTTTGCGGGTGACCCTTTTATGAGTCACTTCGCATGCCTTATGCTTATTGTATTGTTCCAACAAGTTTAGGATTCAATGAGGATTTTGTGGCATGATGCTAGGCTACAGAAGGGTTCAGGATCTAGAGAGTCCATGTCGGCGCCCGCTTTGGCCAACGTGTCAACTTTTCCGTTACCGCTAGACCCCGAATGCCCAGGGACCCGTGCAAGGGTCAGGTCATTGGCTCAGGTGTGTCAGGGCCGTCCAGCATGTAAAGAAAGTTTGCTTGATTTGTCCCACATAATTGAACGGTGCCATTTCTACGCGCTCTCAATATGGAGCCAAGGAATGGCACCCGATATCAGAATCGTGCTTCAGCACGGCAGCGAGTATCTGTGTCCCCTGTTTCTATTCTTGGAAGAAAATTGTAAATAGTAGTAGTTGCGTATGATGAAAGTGAACGTATTTATTGGTGTGACTGTGTATTGCGAGAGGGTCGATGGCGGTATATTGTCTTTACCATATAACAGGCTAGTTAGACAACAGGTGTAAAAGGTGATGGAGGAATAACGAGTACTCCATACCCTGAGAAAATGAAAAGTAAAGAGGAAAGAAACCTATTTCAAAGTGAGTGAGAGTGTGAATAAAAGACCTATTACGTTGGGGGTGAAACAACCTAGCTGTTGATAGCCCCTGAATCTCAACCTCGTTGGCTAAACGGATAAGGCCAAGGTTTAACACCAGACTGCCAATACGCGGGATGGGTGATGGGTGCCTCTAGGCCTGCCGGTAAAAAAGCTGGTGTTGCCAGTGGACTGCGAGAAATGATAGGCTCACCTCTGTACACGTGCGTATTTATGTACGTGTAGGTGCAGTTTTGGCTTATATAAATCAGTAAAACAATGAAATTCAAGCCCCATACAATTTTTGTTTAGGTGGTTTGGTCGTTTCCGATCATTCTGGTCTGCCATTTGTGCAGTTTTGATCTGACGAAAGATGACTTAAACGAAAGATCTCAACGAATTATTTTACAGTAATCGTAATTCTTTATGATGTAGCATTCTTTGTGGTTTTTACAGGGTCAAAAATGTCTGAGAAAGTGTTCAAATGACGAAGACTGCAAGTCGAAGAAGAAAAAGTGCATCTGTGACGGTGTCTGTGGCATGTCTTGCATAAAACCAGAGCGCGAGTGCCCAGAACTGAGAAACCCCGACAAGGGGACCGTGGTGGTGACGGGCAAACTCTTCGGCGACCGGGCCACCTACGAGTGCGAACCCGGCCACCACCTGGTGGGCCTGAAAGAACGGACCTGCAGGGGCGACGGCGAGTGGTCGGGGGTCGAGCCGCAATGCAAGCACATAGGTAACCCTACAGGTTCTTGGCTGTACAGGCCGTTTCACGTTTCTTGTTCCAGCCGTTTTCTGCAAGGAGCCGCCCGTCATGGAATACGCCAGGCACAACGCACTCCCGGAGCAGACGACTTTCCCTCTCGAGTCGGTCCTGCAGTACCAGTGCGTCCTCGGATACACGACCAACGGATTTCCAAAAGCCAAATGCCTGGCTATAGACAAGCGTCCTTCTTGGTTCGGGCCAGACATCAGTTGCCAACGTATTGTCCTTATACTTTACTGTTGTTAAAAGTCCATGGACATCGGATATTTTTGGCAGTTCTACCTTCTATTCCCGTGAGATTCTCCCAGTTGTTCATCCTCTCTCAACGTACTATCTTAAAATATCAATCAAGTCAAAATACTCTCGAATGTTTCCAATTTATTAAAGTGGTGTTTCTTTCTCAAATTTGCTATAAAATTTTAATATGGAAACATGTGCTGTAGTGTTATCATTTAATATATTACCAATAGACTAGGTTATTTTATATCACACAATTTTGTGATGTAGATTCTTAAAGTAATCCAATTATGTACCACCAAAATGTGCTTTTGAAATTGAAGATTGCCAATATTGCCTTGAAACTGATAATTGAATGGAAGGTTAACTGTTTGGAAAATCCGATTGTTCTAGAACTTTTTCCCAGTAGCTTGATGCGTCGGTAATAAAAACAACTTGTTCACCCGATAGTTACAAGTGTGTTTTGGTTTTTCTAGCTAAAAGTTGCGGACCGCCGACTGACCCGAGCAACGGATGGCATTCTGGCCAGTGCTACACGTACGGCTGCAGGATCGAGTACCACTGCATCAAAGGGTACGAGCTGGTCGGGAGAGGCGAAAGGACCTGCCAAGCGGACGCGACCTGGATGCCGAGGGACCTGCCGGCCTGCGTTCGTAAGTCTCAAACTAGCTTAGTCCTGCAGAACACCCGTGAACCCTAAAGCCGGAAACGTTTATGCGGGTCTTGTTTGGCCGTATTGGGTTCCCCGTCCCTTTTGAACCTAACAAGCCCGCCGTTAGTTGTTACAGCCGTCGAATGCCCCGTCCCCGAAAATCCACAGTACGGGACGGCTCATTTCACCACTTGCCAGTACAACGCGGTCGTCAGCTACGAATGCCGCTACGGTTACACGCTCGTTGGAGAACGGACCCGAAGGTGCGGCGAGGATCGAAAATGGTCTGGGACCACTCCGAAATGCAAAGGTACTTTTAACCTCGTTACAATCCCACTATCACAAACAAGAAAACTCTCTACTGTACCAAAAAGCACAGCAATTCACGGAATGGCTTTTCTCTCTTCTTGCACACATCGATAAAGTCTAAGGAAACCGAGTAGCGGAATAGTCTGCTTTATCTAACTTTTATTCGGTCACCTTTGAACTTTTTGACGTGTGATTTTTCTCCTTTACTTCTTTCTTTCGACCCGTGCACGATTTAGCTGTGGACTGCGGGCAACCTGGTCAGCTTTACCAAGGTTGGATCGAGAACATCGAAGGCGGGACGGCTCTCGGAGCTTCGGTCATATTCAGGTGCAGGGAGGGAATGCTGCTCGTCGGAAACACTTCCGCAGTCTGCCAACTCGATGGCACTTGGACCTACCCCGTCCCTCAGTGTTTGGGTAAGGCCTTACTGCGAGGCACGGACTTATTAAATTATTTCCTTAAAGTCTGCTGTTTTTGATATTATTACACTAATATTATTATTAACAATTTTAAAAAATGTTTAACCGCATGCCAAATTTCACTGTCACGTGCTTTTTTATTACGTCGTCTAAACTTTCCTTCATAAATAATATATTTTGTCTATTATTTTTTACAGCACCCTGCGTGATTCCGAAGGTAGATCAAGGTAAGAATAATGCAATTAGAACCCAAGATATTCTACTAAACCACACAAGATACTACTACTGAGATATATGATTTTTATTTTACCACCTTTATTTATAGGAAGAGTGATTTTTGAATCAAATTCGACGCTGAATCAAATCCCACATGGAGAAGAACTGAATCTGACTTGCGAGACACGATACGAGCCCAACACTTTTGACTCACCACTAAAGTGCAACAACGGCTCCTGGGAGATCATGCCTAAATGCATCCCAGGTATGTTTTTCTCATACGATTCTTCCATATCCGCAAACAGTTGTATAGTTTTTAACCGACCTTCCAGCCAGATGCAAATACCTGCCTAAGGCTCCGAAAAACGGCATGGTCATCGCACCCAAAACAGAACATGGAATGAAGGCTCGGTTCAGTTGCAAGGACGGTTACACTCTCAAAGGAGAAGGTACGACGGAGTGCAGATACGGCAATTGGACCGGTGAAATCCCGTACTGTCAGGAAGGTGGGTGAACGCAATCCCTATCGCCCTCGTGCCTCGTTTCATGTTCGATTTCCGTTTCAGTATACTGCCCATTTCCTGGTTATGTCGAAAACGGTAAGATACTCTTAGTCGGGAATATGGGGCTGTATGATTACAGGCCGTACGTGAGAAAAGTGAACAACAACAAGCAAGTCATGTACGAGTGCAACAAAGGTTTCACCTTGCTCGAAGGGCCTCCGGGTGCAACTTGCGTGGCCGGAGCCTGGAGCCCTAAACAACTCCCCAAGTAGGTATAAACGACCAGTAAGTTTTAAGATTTAAAGGCATAGTCTTACGGGACAGTTTTCAAGGTGTGTTCCCGGACTCCATCCGAGGCTGAGGTGGTCCAGGAAGAAGCGATCCCTGATGACTTTGCGCCGATTGAAACGCCGGTTAAAACGAGCTCTGAGTGGCCAGAACACCCAGGTGTTGAGGAAACCAGCGACGGGCTCCAGCAAGCCAGACCCGCAAGGGACGGGTCGTGGGCGCGCAGGTGGGAAAGGAAGCGGGTCGGGCAAAGAATCCGGTGGAGAAGGAGACGAAGAAGAGGAGGAAGAAGGAGATAAGTCGACCAAAAAAGAAGGGGAGAAGAAAAAGAAGAAAAAGCCGTCGAGGAAACTCCCACCTGGAGGGCCCTGCTCGCTCATAACCATTGAAAACTATATGAAACTTGACATATTGAAGAAAGGCCGGGATAACAACAACACGTACCCCCACGGTACGCTGGTACGTCTGACGTGCGCCACCGGATACAGTTCCAATCTACCCAACGGTACAGCTAAGTGCGTACGAACGAAATGGAAACCGGCTAAGCCGTTGTGCGGAGTCTGTAAGTAATCAAGGCTTTTTATTTCTAAGGCTTACATTTTATGTCGTTTCTTTTTTTCAGCTCCGTGCAAAATACCGGAAACGCAGCATGGCATTTTCAGCAAAGGTGGGTCTAGCCTAGCGGTAGCTGGCCAGACGCTCAACAACACGAGTGACGTTCCCCATGCGGAGATTGTCGACGTCAGTTGTTCGCCTGGCTACAATCTCCAAGGAAGCGCCAACATGAAATGTTGGCATGGACAATGGGACGCCCCCATCCTTCCGACATGCACGCCAGGTATTTTATAATAAATTTTTCAAGAGGAATAAATTCGTTTGAAATTAAAACTTACTTTTCAGCACCGTGCCAGCTGCCTGTAATCCCTCACGGTCAGTACCTTCTCGGATATCGGCCAGGGCTCACGATCGGCAACGGTAGCTCGGTACGCTTCCAATGTGACACCGAATACAAAGCATCCACAGTCGCGCCTCTCACCTGCATCCTCGGCGAGCTCCGTCCTACCATGCCTCACTGCAAGACCGGTATACTTGACAACACAACCGTTATTAAACTTTTTTAGTAAGGCAAAAGATTTATTTTCAGATCCGGGCAGCATGTTTATGGCAGGAAGCGATATCACCAAAGCAGGACAAATGGGTGCTATCGACTACGTCTCCGGTCTGAGAGGCTCATGTGCTCCGCCTGACAGGGTCCAAGGTACTCTCGTCTATAAGAACGGTGAGCCTTTGGCCGAAGCTGAAAAAAAGTGAGCGTCCTAAGAAGCACTATTTGACCTTAACAGTCTTCTTATATTCTGTTCAATTAGTGTTGATTTTTTAAAAAGTTTTCCAGACGGCACCGAAGTGACTTTTAATTGTATAGCGTCTATTATGGGTGAGAAGATTACCTGGAGGATCATTTGTGAAGACGGAAGTTGGCTAGGCCATTCATTGAACTGTGGTATATTTTATCTCAAACCGTGTCTTGCCAAATTTACAAATTCATCTCAAAAGAGTCAGTCTAAATGTTTTTAGAATTGGACGACAGTGCAAAGCAAGGATCAGCATCAGCGCCAAGGGACAATACTACTTGCCTTTTCACAAATTCTGAACCACACGTTTCTACCTTCTACCTGGACCAACTCCTAACTGAAGACACTGTCGAATTCCCGAGTGGTGCCGAGCTCGTGAGTTGAAAACATTCGTACCGTGCATTTATTTATTTTAATCGAATTTTATCAGCAATTCAGATGCGTGGATATAGGAAAATTTGCGATGATCGGCTCCAACAGAAGAAGATGTAACAATGGACAGTGGGATGGTGTCAGGCCTGCGTGCTTCGGACTTAACCAGCAGAACGACTACTTACGTAATTCTCTTGATTTTATTTTTAAGTTAAACTATTAATTATTTTATTTTGATTTAGTGGAAAAACCACCTACCATCCTCTTTAGGCACGAACTCGGCCCGATAGCACAGTCCAACGACGGAAAGCTAATCGTCTTTCCAGGTACTATACTGCACATGGAATGTCTATGGATAAGGCGCTTCGGAACACCCAAATGGGTCGTCAGCCACAACTATAGGTAGAAAGAATCTTTATCATTCGCTTTGACCAAATGACAGGAATCGATAATTTAGAAAATATCCGGAGAGCTGGAACAACGAGTCGGGACGAGACCCACAGCTTGAATACAGGTTGAGTATACTACATGCCACGAAAGACGATTCGGGAACTTTCTCTTGTATTACTCCAACCAGGCATACACATTCCGTTGAAATAGTTGTCGAAGGTATGCCGTTGAAATAATATCGTCTTAATCTTGTTACACTTGTCGACCTTTGTTTTTAGCTGTATATTGCCAGCCACTACCACCAAGAAGAGGCCTGATGATGAGCACGACTGAGGTTAAAATGAACACAAAAGTTCTCCTCAGCTGCGCGAACGGCAACGCGCTTATAGGATCTCAAGAGTTAGTCTGCCTCCCTTCGGGCAACTGGTCATCTCCGGTGCCGGTCTGCGAGAGCATGGAATGCCCCGATTTGGGCAACGGGACCGATCCGAACCTGAGGGCTAGCATTCTGAGCAGGGAAGTCGGAGGACAGGTCGTCTTCAGCTGCTCCCCGGGTTTCGGGCTCGTAGGGCCGGTCCATTCGACGTGTCTGCTGACGGGAGAATGGGCAGGTCCTCTTCCGATCTGCAAGGGTACGGACGACTCGAACAACTCAGTTCTTCAGTCTAAATATCGACTTTTTTCAGAGGTGCAGTGCACAAACCCTGAAGCACCACCGAACGGATATTCCACAGGAAACCCGCCTTACAAAGCCGGCGACCTCGTGCAGTTCGCCTGCAACCAAGATTACATGATGGAAGGGCAGCCGATTATAGCATGCCAAGAAAATGGACGTTGGAGCGGCCCCGTTCCAAATTGTAAATATATAGATATATATATATATATTTTTAATTCCAACATTTTATATAAAACTGAAATCTCCACCAGATCTGCTACTGTTTAAAATTTAATTTTTAAACCTTTAGGTGTACGTGCATGCGCCTACCCAGGGACGGTGATAGCCGGCCGAATTTCTTCTGTCAAGTTCTACTACCAGATTGGCGAGACGGTCTCGTTCACGTGCGACGACGGGCTGAAGATGACCGGTGCCGGGATGCTGCGCTGCCTGAAGTCGGCCAAATGGTCAGCCGCCATACCGACGTGCTCATGAATGAAAATTCCAATTCCACTCGTCAAAACTTAAACAACGAATAGTAATTTTCTTCGGTAGGTCGATCGAGTGCAAGAACTTTATATTGTGATAGTTCCATGAAGGTGATTTCAGTCGAAAAATCCATCTACTTGACACCAAGAACCGCTTAGATCGTACAAAAATGAATTCTTCTACTTCTTATTATGACCTTTTTTTAATTTGAAGGAAAAATAAATTTCGAAACAAAGTATTTTTTCAAAGTTACCAATATATAAATCTTATTTTTGCGCATAGACCACAAAATGAAAAATATCTGTTATATATAAGAATAAAATAATTTGTTTTGCTATAAATCTTTATTTTTATTCGTTACCCCTGATTCTAATTATTGTTTCGATACTTCTTCTCCATTACTGTTACTAAACAGAAAGAATTTTTTATCTACTTTTAAGTCTTTTTGAAGTCTGCACTTGATTCTTTACAAGGCAAAAACTATAAGACAGTATTTCTGGATTACTTTTCTCAAAATTGAAAAAAAAAGAAGGATAGAAATAGCAACATAGAAATAGAAAATTAGTAACATTTTTGGATTATTTTTTTATTAAAAGAACGAAAATCGATTACATTTAAAAATTATTATAGGGTTCATTCTTTTCGAAGAGGGCCATTAGAAGAATAAAGGGGGAGGGATTTTCTTCACAATTTTTATCGTGTAGAGGTAAGGTACTCATACCAGATGAGAGACTTAAATACATTTGTGAACGAGTAAAAAGGAACGTGGGCGAGATCCAGCTCGCCCGAGTCTTTTCCCAGTTTAGCTTGGATTTTCAGGTCAGCTTACAGCATAGACGGATTTGTCTGGAAAAAAATCAATACACGTTAATGTTAATAGAAGTTTTGCCTAATATGTCTATTACAGACCTTCTGTTTCTTGCGGTTCTTTGAAATCCGGTCCCTTGAGCTGCAGAGTGATGAGCCTTGGGCCTGTGGCGACGACGAGTCGACTCTGGCATATTTCACACGCCGTCGGCGGGTCGTCAGGGGTGAACGCCGAGACGAGGGAGCCGTTGGACAGGTCCCAAATCCTTATCGAACGGTCTAGCCCGGCGGAGGACCAGGAAACGCACAACCTGCCCTCTTCGCAGAGTCTCACCGAGTCGCAAAAAGACGTGTGGCCCCTCAAAACGTATCTGCAGTTGCCCGTTATGAGGTCCCAGACGAGAATCCTGCTGTCCGCGAGCCCGGTCACCAAGCAGCCTTCCTTGGGGCTTATCTCGACGCAAGTGGTATCCACGCCCGGCTTCCATTTTTTGAATAGAGTTCCGGACTGGAGGTCATACACGACTAGATAATTTGGCGAGTTCTCCACCACCTCTTTCGTCACGAAGCAGACATAATTGCCCTGATGTGTTATGGCGGATAATCTGGATACGAACTCGTGCTGGGGTATCCTTATATCGTAGAGCAACTTTCTAGATGCTAGGTTCCACACGAGCATGGGAGAGGGTTTCTGCGTCTCGTCCCCGCAGACTAAGATCTTGCCGTCTCCAGAGACAAGGAGGCTGTTCAGGAATCTGTCCTCGCCGGCTTTGAAAGTAGTGACTAAATCGCCGCTTTCCAAGTTCATGAGATTGACGTACATACGGTTTCTCGATAGGGCGACCAGATGGTTCGAGTCGTGAAGGCCGAAATACGGCATCTTCTGATTCATGACGCCCTTCAGTTTTGTTTTGAGCTCGAGTTTGTCCAAATCGTAGACGTGAAGCTCTCTCCCTGTCAGGACGACGCAGGTCTTGTCGTCGACCATCCTCAGATCCGTCGGCTGTGTTATACCAGTCAAGGAACGCACCTTTTTGCACTTGGACACGTCGAAGACGCTGATTTCCGATTTTTCCGTGCAGATGGTTACCACGTGATTTCCGCTCTCCGGCAGTCGCCTTATTAAGTTGTAATACGTTTCTTCCGAATCTGCAAATAGACAAATGTGAGAGAATGGAAAAGAAACAAAAATCGACGTCATACCTTTTGATTTAATTTGGATCAAGCTGTTGCACGGTGGGTTCTCTGCTAATTCTTTGAATTTCCCTGCCAAGGCGCAGTCGGAGTTGCAGATTTCGTCGATGTTAAAATACCTGTAAAGGAGGGTGTAAAACTGGGTCCCTTCGTAGCTCAAAGCTTCCGCGTTCGTTTCGAGAAAAGAAATGAGCCAAGACACGTCATCGTCCTTCCGTTCGAGAAACAAGTCCTCCAGGAGTTGGTTTGTACTCGTCGCGCAAATCTTGTTCACGATCCAACTATGGTCCAGGCTGAGGGATCGCGCGGTGCCATCTGTTTTTATCATAAGATAAGGCAGTTCCTCGTATCTCCTAATGTTATGACTTGGCCCGTATTTGTCCTTCTGCTCTAGATATCTAGATTTGTTTTCTTTTTTTCCCCAAAGGACACCCTGCAAAGAACAAGTTATCAGAAACATAACGCTAACCATAGCCCAGTCCGATATTCAAGGTACACGTACGGAAAAGTAGTTTTTGAGAGTTTCTCTGGCCCAGTTCATCCTTCCGTTGTACCTGTCCAGGCACACCTGAGTCAGGGTCTTGTCCCTGATCTTAAGAGTTTTTGAATCGCTCCATTCTAAAAACGGGCCCAGGTGTCGGGTGATTTTGCTCCAAAAAAGACACGAACCAGCCCATGGCACTACAAAATAATAATAATATTAACTATATCTCTGACAATAAATATGCTGTAAGCATTGTAAGCATCGTATATGGGTAATTCTTAATTTAAATAACGTAGTTTTTCAGGTCAGATCAGAGAGTTAAAACACTGAAAAAACTACATTATTCATACATAGGGTTCACCCCCCCCCAAAAAAAAAAACCGTTATGATATATGACTTGTTGATTATAGGTATTGATTATAGTTACACTTTACATAAGATCTATAGCAATCCTCAATTGTTAACGATTGTTTTAACTAATTTAACTTACGGTATGTCGTGGAGGTGTGGAAGGTCTCGTCGGAACTGAGCACGTCGAGCATTTCGCTGTCCTGCAGACCGTATTTGGAGCCGATAAGGAGACAGAGGGCTTTCTCGATTTTCTCTTTTCCAAAAATCGTTTCTAGCTGTTCTAGCATGTCGTCTAGCTGTTCCCTTAGCTGGTTTTTGGGAGCGAGGCTCAGGTTGTACTCCTTGGACCAGGTCACCTGCCAGGCCACTGCCTTGATGTGAAGAGGAAGGGTACAACTCTCCGGAAGCGTGTTCTTCACTTCGGGATTGTAAGAATGATTGTATTCCAATATGCTGCTCATAAGGATGGAGTCTCGTTCTGATTTGTCCAAGTTAGGAATCTGGTAAAAAATCAAAACACATGAGACACTTTGTTTCTTTTTGCAGGACATCAAGGTTTTTATGGTTCTATCTACAAGGTACAGCGCGATTGAGTATTACCTCGATGAAATTTGCATCGGAATCTTTAAGAGTCTCCTTGAGTTCATCTACCATCTTCTTGTCGGATAAACTTAACACAAGTTTGCATCCTTCTGGTAAAATTTTCGGTACCCAGAAAAGTTCTTGCCTTCCGAAATCCCTGAAATGATCCAGGCCGTCGATAATGACGAACATTTCTCCATTTTTCGCCGCGGACTCCAGACATTTCGGCAATATCCTTGCATATTCCTCCACGGTCTGAAAATATTTTAAACAAAAATCAACGAAACGTTTCATTTTGTTATTTTATTTGTTCTTACGTGTATTCTCCGTGTTTTGCTTGGGTTCAGCTGTCGAGTGATGGACTGAAGAAGGCTCACAAGCGTGGAGGACTGTCTCGTGAGACCGACTTTTCTAAAATAAACCTTGGGTTTTTCTAACTTCTCAACCTGGTGGAACAGTCGAGATAATAATGTCGTTTTCCCGGACCCACCAGGGCCATAAAATATAATTGGTCCTTTACCAGCCCAACTGTAGATAAAAAACACAAAGTTAGCTAAATAAGGTTTTAATAAAATAAAAACCTTACCTGAAAACGGTTTCCAGTAGCTGTTGCCGATTAACCGAAGACTGTGCTTCACGCATGGCCGACCTCCTGTGGAATACGATTTCCCTGGAGAGCCTAGGGTCCTGCACTTGAGTCTTTCCGGATTCCTCCACAATTCCTTCTATGATACTCTTCAGGTGTTTCTTGATGTTTTGAGTGACCTGCTTGAGGTATTCGGGCTGCTGGGAGGGGTCAGGAGTGGCAGCAGGCACCAGGTGAACTATGTGGTTCTCTTGGAGCTCGTTTTTCAGCGCTTTCTGGAGGTTCTCGCACCGCCTCCGTAATTCCGATTCGCCCGGAGAGGAGACGTCGGAAAACCTCGAGTTCCTCGAGAACCAGACGCACCTTTTAGCTAGCTCGCGGCTCATCAGCACGCAGTTCTGCACCTCCTGTTCGACGACCGTCGTCAGATATGTTTCCCGAAGCTCGTGCGAGAACGAGGAGAGCATGACCGAGAGGATCGAGTCGACCTCGTTTTTCCACTCTTTAAGACTATTTTCTTTCTCCTCCTTGTCCTGGCTTTTCAGGCCTCTGATGTGCGTAGTCGCTGGCAAAAGTCGATAACAGGGTGGCTGAGCTTCCGAATCGAGAACGTACCACTTCAAAAGGACCTTTCCACTCTCTGAGCCGCTTACTGTCTGGAAATCCGCTGATTCGAGGGTTTTGGGTAAAAGCGGCGTCCCCAAATTGGTGTTCAAGAAGACCAAAGGTATCAGAAAACAACCCTCGTTCTGACCTGAATGAACAGTTAAAACAACATTATATATTTTTTAAATAACCTATTTAGTAATACATACGAGAGAGTTCGTGTAAGAATAATTCTTCAGGCTCGGAAGATTTATCTTGGACACTCCAGTGCAGGTCGACAATGTGCAGTTCGAAATTGACAGATTTACAGAAGGAACGAAGCTCCGGGTACACTTCCGAGTGAACCACTCCTTTCTCAACTTTGCAGTCTGAAAAAGGATATCAACATTTAAAGAAATACAAATACGATTGACTTAAGTACAAATACCCTGAGAGTCGGCAGCGCAAATGTATATGACTATCTTGTTCTCTTTGTAGTTTGGAATTTCTATTATTTTCTCTTCCCTTTTGACAACCGGCGGAGGAGACGAGGCCGATTCGGACTTGACGCTCGGATGGGACTTCTTCGAGGAATTCAACTCGGACCTCCTTCTGTCTTCTTCTTCTTTTTCCACTCTCCGGATCTGCTCCTCTTTCTTCCTCTCTTCTTCTTTCTTAGCGTCATGCTGGGCTATCTGATAACTCGGAGATCTGTTAGCATTATCAATTCAAAATTAAAATCCTTAAAGATCCCATATTTCAAAAATGAAAATCTGTAAGATTCGCGGTTTTACGGGAAAATTGTAAACAATGGAGTTAAAAATCAATTGATTTTTCCTGCAATGGTACATTTTCGATACAGATTTCAGTGTAAATTTGAATAAAACTATGTTTCTTTTTATTTTTGTTTTTTCAATCAGAACAAAATAATTAAAATGGACTAACGATTGAGACTGCTTAGGTGGAGCCTCGATCAAAATCTCCACTAGCTTTCAATTTTAACGTCGAAAAGGGTTCAAAAATTTTATATAATTAAAAAATTATACTTATCAGGGTTAATGATGGCTCTTTAAACTTTGGCTGTGTACCAAGGTTCGTTTAAAAACACAAAGTACACATAAAGTAAAAAATAACAGACAACATGACAGTCAAATGGGTTCATCGATTATGATCGGACGAAATTTCAATTTGACGAGTCAAGGCTAAGATGAAATTCTGATGAAGGCAAATTAGATTCGAATGGCTTTTGGAAAGGAGAACATTTAAATCCTCTCTTGTGGAATTTTTTGAAGGGGATTAATTGTGTGTGATTAATGTGGGGGTTGGTGGTTTGCAGGGTGCTTACTCACTCTTCGGATCTCGTCGATATGCTGTCTCTGTCCTTGTGATTCTGCCTGCTGGAGCAGTTGGAGCCCATTTTCCAAAAAGGTCTCCGAGACCCGGATTCTCGAGACGACGTGGAACTCGATCGCGGCCTAATCCATCTCTACCCGAGCCGACCGGAGCGAGGGAGTGAGAAAACGCCGTCGTCTAATAATAAACTCCACACGCCCACGCAACAACGCCAAGAACACTGCTAAAAATACACTTTCCTCATTTGACTAAGGACGCGAATAAAGGAAATTGGCGGAAAAACAAAGGAGGGCGAGGACGTCGATTCGTCCAACGGGTCACTGGGTAGTCGGGATGGTGCGTATGCCGGATTTCCCCCCCGGCGGATCCGGCCCCCTAGGACCTCCTGGACGGCGAGCCGACTGGAAAAAAAGAAAAAATGAAAGGAAAACGAGAGAGAACAGCTGTGTTACCGCCTTCGCCGATTCACGAAGAGGGTTTTCCGGAGGGATCGCTTTTATCGATCCCTGTGTGTCGTAAGGGTGAAGGTGGGGGCGGAAAAGGGCTGCCCCCGAGTGGAGGCGGCTCCGAACTAAAACGGACACCGGGGAATTTCGAACCTGCCAGGAAAATAAACGGGAAAAGGGTCCGGGGACGCCTCGTGTATGGACCGAGCAGGTGAACGAACTTGTCCCGACTGTTTGATGAAAATTGATCGCCTCCGGTCGACTTATCTTCTACTAAAATGATGGAACTACATCGCAGACTAGGTCAATCATTGCTCAAACAACAAATAAACAAACAGACGTTTGGACTACCTTGCGACCAAAGGTCCCTAAACCGGCGACCGTTTATGCAATTTGTTTTGTTTAGTTTATTCAACATTATCGTACTTCTATGAGGATGAAGCGATAAATCTGTCTTGAATGTGCACTGACAAGCAAAAAATTCCGCCCACTTGTAATATAACTTGATTTTTATATATTAATCCAAGTTTCACGTTTTTTAACGTTTAATAATTGAGTCATTGTCTAAAAAAGTTAAAAAATATAAATTGTTAAGGAAAATGAAAATTTTCTTAACAATTTAACAAAGACGGACATATAATATTTGTTTTAATTTTGTTTTAGATTTTTAATTAACATTTCAATATCGCGTATTTCCTCCTTTTGCCTTATTACATCTTGAACACGCCTCGGCATACTTTCTACCAGCCTGGAAATGTCTCTTTGCTGGAGGTTAGCCCATTCTTCACGAAGATTCCTTTCAAGATCGTGGAGTGTATCAGGAAGTGATGGACGTCCTCTTATTCGTCTTTTGAGGTTATCCCATAAATGTTCGATGGGGTTCAAGTCTGGAGAACGGGTTGGCGAGGCTAAGACCCTGATATACTTTTGAAGGTTTGTACTATGTGAGTGACATGTGGACGAGCATTATCGTACATTAGAATAGGATTGTCGCTGATTTTATCGAGGATAGGCAACGCCTGATGTTCCAAAATTTCATCCACATAGCGAGTGGCCGCCAAAGACCCTCCACGAACAACAATCAACTCTGTGCGACTCCATTGAAATTCCCGTCCAAACCATCACTGAGCTACGTTGAAAAGGTTGACTCTGGGAAAACTTACATGCTTTGTACCTTTCATTTCGCTTTCTCCACACTCTTTCATGCCCATCTGGAGAACGTAGAGCAAATCTACCCCCATCTGGAAAAGTCCAGCAGACCAATCGTCCAAAGACCAATGGCCGTGTTCTCGACCAAATGCGAGCCGTGCAACTACGTGTGTTCTGGTCCTCTTACAAGGCGAAAAGCCATCAGTCCATACTGACTTAATCTTCTTCGAGCGAGCGTTCAGAAATTTGGACACCTCGAACTTCCTGGAGCTGATGAATCGCTTGAATAACAGTTAATTCTCAATAATTCTCAAAGACCAAAAACGGTCATCCTGTGGTTCTGTTACCCTAGGGCGTCCAGATCCTGGCCTTCCATGGTAGGCCTCCGATGGCAATGGCCGCATACCTTATGGGACCATCATCAATAAGTGCCACTCCACGCGCAACATCCTAAGTGGCATTTTTAAGTTTAAAAATTGAAATTAAGAAAACAAAGATGAAAACTAAACCGTAAATGAGACTGCGTAAACATTTTAGATTCCGTAAAATTAAACATTGAAAAATCCTTTATCCTTTTTTTGGATTAAGGATTAAATGTGTTTTTGCCTAAATGATATTCCCAATTTAAAAAATAGCGTAAAGCAATATTTATTGATAAAAAACAATGAGACAAATTTAGGGCAGAATTTTCTTTTTATCGAGAAAATGAAAAAAAATCAGTTGCGCGGAATTTTTAGCCTGTCAGTGTATTTCAACCCCTTGGATCGTAACGCTGTGTACAAGCAACATTCAGCATCAGTTAATGCTTTATTGTTTAATGTTTCATACTGCACATTGAAAATGGATATGAAATTTGAATTCAAACGGCTAAGCTAGACTCTAGTGTTAAAAAGATTCGAGTTTGCTGAAAACGGACAAGGGGGCAAAACAAAAAACAAACAAAAATTTAAATTGGTTAATAGATTGGCAGGATTCAATTCCAGTTAAAGAAGTATTTCACTTAAACAGGGTTTTATTTACCCAGGTCGTTAAGGCTGCATATACCACTAAGAAAGGCTAACTGAAAAAATTGTAGTGGTTTAACTTATGTATTTAAAAAAATACATAACATTGAAATATGGTCATATATGAAAAAATACAAAACATATTAATTAAAGTAATCGTTTATTTTTTCTGTTCTTCACTTCGGCACTTCATTATGTTTGTTTTTTCTATATCATATAATTTATCGAACATTTAATCCTTTGCTCCTTTAGACATATCAAAAATGTTTGGAAATGTTTACCACATTTCATTGCGCCCTTTATGGATACTGGTAGGCTCCCTGAATTTTCCACATCTTCTTCTGCATCTGCTTTCTGAATTGTCCACATTTTCATAGCCATCTGAGGTTTTAGATTCTTCTTCTTCTTAATAATAGAGCTCAAATGGTCATGCTAGGAAAGCTTGGAGTTAAAAATACTGCAGAGATTTTTAACTTTATTACAAAAATTGATAAGGGAGCCGTGGATTTGAGGAGGAGTTAGGCAATCCGTATAGATGGATTTTGGAAATTAATAAAGAGGGATTTGTTAGGGTTTAAAAGAATGCCGTTATTACTTGACCATTGGTTGGGACAATGAACATCACGATTCAACAGAGCTGTTGCTTGCAGGACATTGGGTGAAGAGCTGAGTGTCGTCAGTGTCAATTGGAAGAAGTTGGAAGGTCAAGAAGAAGAATGGAAGGTCATTTATAAATGTGGAATAGTACTACTCTATAGTAATGGTCCAAGAATAGTGCCTTGGGGTACACCAGCTGAAACTGGTAGAGAAGGGGAGATAGAATTTGAAGCCTTAGTTCTCTGGGTTCGGTCAGCCAATAGGGGGAGGTGAGATTCGTCGTAATATATAATAAGTCGCTTAATCAGATTATTAATAAATTTGGCAACAATTCTTGCAATTTTTTCAATATTTTATTACAATTTGTAATTTTTTATTGCAATTTGTAATTTGATGAACAAAGATATATTTAAAGCTGTATACATTGAGAGGGGGTAAATAATCAATTTTATTCTCCCACTTCACTACACTAAATAAACTTCACTGCCAACTCCTCGGAAAGGAAGTCGCGGGACTATTTCCTCGAGACAACTTAAATTGTAGGGATTGGTTCTAGGTGGTGGTAGGCTTAGGTGAAACTACTGGAGTGATGAGAGAGATTATTTTGGAACTTGGTAAATTTTTGAGGGGTTACATTTTGGATAAATGGGATTTTAAGGTCGTTGTGGAGGGTAGTATTGGAGACATAATACGGAACATTTATAAGTGATCTGAGGACTGGGTTGAAAATGTAAACAACAAATCTGTGAGTAAAACCGCCTTTTATAAAAGTGATATTATATAATATTACGAGTTCTCCCTGCAACGAAGCTTCATTTGATACGAGGCGAAAGTAAGTGAATTCTGCTACTTGTGACTTCGTTGGGTTCACTTTTACTTCTTTTACTCCGATTGCTGACCCTGTTCGCGAGTTCCTATAGGACGGAATGGGCTTCTTCACTTGTATCTTGTTTTGACAATATGGCGACATCAGCAGAAAAGTTGGCTTTTTTAAAAGCGTATTTGTTGGGAAATCTCTTGAAAAGAGAAGGTAGAGAAAAGGCCCCAGTACACTGCCTTGAGGTACTCCCGATTCAAAAACCAAAATGTACAATACCATTTTTTTCTTGAAATAATGTTGCCGAATTAGATATTGTGCTAAGTGAAAACGGAACAAGTTCATTTAGCGTTGAAAGGGTTTAAACAAGCAAAATAAACAATTATGAGATTTCTTCTTGATCACTGTGGGGTGATGAACCTATCTTTGTTGTGTCCTATCATCCTGGTCCGCTTAATCTCTGTGTTTTGTTGTTTCGGCCATCTTCAGTTATGCGATATTTTTAAATGCTCACTTTTTCATGTTGGTTTATCTTTGCCTGTCGTGATAAATTCTAGATTTTTGTGAGGGATGTGATCGGTGTTGTATATTTTCAATATGCATGTACATATTTATATTCTATCTATCAATCAACTATCTATGTATATGTTCATTTGAAATGAATTCATATCATCAACACTAAAATAATTTATTTATATTAAAATAATTATTCTCTTTGATCTCTCTCTCACTCTCATTCTCTCTCTCTCACTCTCTCTCTCTCTCTCTCTCTCTCTCTCTCTCTTTCTCTCACTCACTGTTCATTTGTTTAAAACTGGCATTAAATGTATTTTCAAAAAAATTTGTGTCTGAATGATTGAATGATTTATAACTTACAAGAACCTAAATTATTGATATCTATCAAGCACACATAAAATCTATGTGCCTGAATGATTGATATTCATAGAAAAATTCAGGTTATGCTGATATCTATTGCTTTTTATATCAAAATCATCAGTTTAAAATGACTAAGACTAATTTATACTTTACAAAAACCTACATGATTGATATCTATCAAGCTTAGATTTATCAACACACAAGAAAAAGATTGTTTACGAATGATTGATATTCATAGTAAAACTCAGATAATGCTATTATTTGTGTAACAAATTATCAGTTTAAAAGGGCTAAGATTTATAGCTTGCAATAATCTGAATGATTGATATCTATCAAGCCGAGATTTATTAACGCCCATGAAATGGTTTTTTTTTATGCCTGAATGATTGATATGCAACGTAAAATACAGATAATGCTGATATTTATTATTTCTGTAACAAATCATCAGTTTAAAAGGGCTAAGATTTACAGTTTACAGACCGAATGATTGAGACGTGTTCGATAGTAGAGAACGAGAGTAAGTGTGCAAATCGATTAATGATTTGTTTTTGTATATTTTTAAATTTCTAACTGCGCTTAAAATTAAACTGATTCTTTAATAAAATATTTGTAATAAATGGTATTATTGTACGCGGGATCACATTGGAAATTGAGTTTTGACTTTGTAATCAGTTGCCTTCATCGGAGTGTATCGATTGATCGAAAGACGCCCGTCCAATAACGTCTCTTTATCATCATCTTTATCATCATCAGAGGCTGTAAGTAAACAAATGTGCGGAAGAGGGTCCTGGAAAGGGCCGAGGGAAATGCGGCCGACGCCAATCCCGACTGGGATCCTCTGAGGCAGGGCCATGGATACCGAGGAATTACAGGTGATGATGGGCAAGAAAAGAAAAAAAAAATCGTCTGTTTTACTGTTGGCACGATGAAGTAAACAATGATATTCCTAAAAAAGATTAAAAAACATATTGTGACATCCTTTTGGATTTTCTTGTGTATAAGTATTTTCATTTTTAATTGATTTACTCCATATATAATGGTCTGGTTTTAAACAAGCTTTATATTTTTCATATATAATATAGTAATATCCTTTAAACTGGTATTTGTTTAAAAATAAAAAATAAGCTTTCTTCAGATGTATGTTTGGTTTGATTAGATTAAGTGCCAAGAGCCGCTATTATGGAATGGCCTTGAAACGCAGACCGGTACGAGGGATGAAGGCATCCTCCGTCAGGCGCTTCTCTCACCTGAGAAAGAAGGCCAGAAGGACGGCACAGAGGTGAGGGTGCGGATCGAACAGTTGGACACCATGAAGAAACGCCTCGAAGAGAGAGCGTTTTTCGACAGCGAAGTCACAATTGAAGCCAACGGTAACATAAACCTCGTATTTTTATATAAAATATTTATTTAAATAATTTTCCCAGGCGGGTTGGTGCCGGAAGGCAGCGAATACACTGTGCACCTCCTGTCTCAGATTTCTTCTTCGATACTGCCGACGATGAGTTCCAGCCAGGTCTCGTCCGTTTTATCCGCCCTCGAGCCTCATGCCAGTTTCGAGCCAAAGGTTCGTCTATTTCAATCCGTAAAATATTCTTAAAAAAAAACAGATATTAACGCGGACAATACTGTATTCTTATCAACACACCCCCATCTTATCCCAGTCATAGAAACAAAATACCATCTGAACTTTATTACTGATTGGTGCAATCGATGGCAGATTAGGTTGAAATTAGGTTTATGTTCAAATGTCAGACCTGTCCATCAGTGCACATTAACAACAAGATAATACGACCATTGAATCAAGTTCGCTACATTGGGCTTTATTCAAATAGCAGACTTATTAAAACGACAAAAACTTAACAAAAGATATTTCTACGCAGACAACTACTGGGACCAAAATCATCATTAAGCATACCTAACAAACTATCAGCTTCTCATCAGACAGATTTGACAGAATCAAACTATGGCGCTCGGCCAAATCAACCAACATCCAACGAATTCAATCCTTTCAATCTAAAATTCTCCACCGTATCCTTACCTTAATGCTGCCTCTATGTCAGTCATACGCTTTATAAAGATCTTAAAATCATGAACCTTTCGTGAAAGATCTTAACCGAACACACTTCCTCAATTTCCAATTTAAACTATCCCTTCACCCTAATCTACTAACCCAATAACTTTACTCAATGTCCCATCCTTACAATCCGTTTAAAACAACGATGGCCTCATGTCTATCTTAACCCGTCCAATTAAATAAGAGATTTTCCCAATGTATCGGATTGGTGCAAAATAAATGCAGGTTTTGACAATTTGTTTTATTTTTGCAGGTGCTTGTCATGTAAACAAAGTTAAATCTTCAAATCTAATTTATGGATTATAATAAATACTTTGAACTGCTATCTTTTATACAAAACATTTTAGATTTTATTGAATTTGATAAGAGAGAGGACCTGCGAAATTAAATATGTACAAACTAGATTTTCGTCAAATTTATTTGTACAAATTTAAACTTGGATGAAGTTTGGCCCAAATCGCGTGTAACATCAATACAGTTTATGGGGAGGGAAGCATTGGCGAATGCACAGTGCAGTGATGGTTTCAGCGATTTCACCTTGGAGATTGGTCACCAACTAAAAACGTTGATTGAAGAAAATTCTTATAAGACAAAGACCACTCAACCGTTGTTTTTCATCTGGAACAAATTGGTTAATTAATGAAGCTCGACAAATGCATACCATATGAAATAACCGAAGCCCAAAAATTGACCCTTTGAACTTTACATGTCTTTTTTGTTGCGCCTCCAAAATGATCCATTTCTCAATCGGATCATCACATGCGATGAGAAATGGATTCTGTGCAATAACAGGAGGTGTACAGGTCAGTGGTTGAATAAGGATGAAAAGCCAGAACACTTTCCAAAACCAAATCTACACAAAATAAGTTATGGTGACTGTTTGGTGGTATACTGCTAGGGTTTTCACTATAATTTCCTGAATTGTGGTGGAACTATCATAACAAAGAAATATTACAAAAAAATTGACAAAATGCACAGAAAACTGCAACATCTTTGCCTAGAATTGATAAACTTTGAGGGGCCGATTCTTCTTCACAACAATGTCAGACTAAAATGCCAACCCTGTGGAAACTTAAAGACTTGGGATATTACCTTACCCACCTTCCAAATTCACCCAACTTCTCGCCTACAGACTTCCACTGTTTTAAGCATTTTGATCACTTCTTAGGGGAGGAGGCGGTGAAGCCGAAAATGCCTTCTTAGATTTTATTATAAGTTGAAATAAAGATTTTTATGTCAGTGGAATAAAAGCGCTTATTACAAAATTTGCAAAGATGTATAGATTGTGATGGAAAATATTTCAAATAAATTTTCTTTATTTTATAAAAATTGAAAATAGTTTTGATTGCCTTTTCAAAGCCTGCATTATTTTTGCACCAGCTCAATATATTTTGTACATATAGCAATAAATACAATAAATAAATTAAACTAAAATTTATTTAGAATATCATCCCGAGGGAGAAATCGCCAGGGCAGGTGCTTTCTGAATTTTTAAAACTCGACAGGCTTTACGACAAAGAAGAAAAGGACAGGAAAAACAAACCTGTAGAGTGAGTCTATTTTTAACATTTCCACAATGATAATAAATTTTTAATAAAAAATTTATTTTATAGATGCGTCCAGATGCAAGTGAACAAGATTTCTTGGTTTAAATGTCCAGCCTGTGCATTCCTGTCTTTGAGGCAGGAAAGCGTCCTGTGCCATTATCGCGAGGCTCATGATGGGGCGGATTTTCGTGTAGAGCTGAAGTGCATCGGCTGCGCTCTTGAGTTCAAATCGGCCCAGGCGCTCACTGTAAGATCATTTTGCACTCGATGATCTCAGAAAAATTAATTTTTTTTAATCAACTTACAGTCCCATTTCATATTTGACCACCATACACCTCCAGGTGAGGCTCACGACCTTTTAAAGATGACAGTAGAAGTGAATAAAATTTGGGAAGAGGAAGAGAAAACTAAAGGTACGCTCAATTTAGACATTTTTTATATTACTTTAGATTTTTGTTAACAGGGGTTGACAATAGCAACAATCATATCAACCCCCGGGGTGCCTGTTGTGCTTTTGGAAAAAAAATATTTGTAAATATTTTGTACTCAAATACCCAAATTTTTGGATTGCAGTAATTATATAACTTATAATCGATTCATAAATATTTTTTATTTATTTTAACAAGAGAATCTAGTTTCTCTGTTGCTTTCTTTAACTGTTCTTTTTGTCTAGTTTTAGATGAAGAGCGTGAGAGAGAATGTGATAAAATACTCAAAGAAAATGGCGATGATAAGTTAGAAGTCGAGTCCAAATGCGAAAAGTTGCCAAGCTCAAAAGCTGAAAAAACGCTCAAGTGCGGAATCGACCGGTGCTCGGTGAGATTTGCGTCCTTTGAGAATCTCCGTTATCATCGTTCATGCCATCTCGGCGGTTCGGCTTGGAAGTGTCCGGAATGCTCGACTGTCTTTCAGAGCTGGTCGAACCTCGCCAACCATGCCTGGAAGGCACACGCAATCGACCTCGAGCTTTACGCCTGTGGCGAATGCTCTTACAAGACGGACAGCATGTCCAAGCTGTTAAACCTCCACAAGCGGATCCACGGCGAAGAAAGACCGTTTGGGTGTGAAACATGTGATAAACATTTCAAAACCAAAAAACAACTTCGAAATCACAAGGTATCGATAGTGTATTCTGTTGAAAAAATTAAAACATTTCATTCAATACTTGATTTAGGTCATTCACAAAAACAAGACGGTACAGAGGTTAACACTCAACTGCAGTCTTTGCAGTCGAACATTCCGAGACCCAAAAATGCTCAACAACCATATGGATTCCGTACATAAAGGATTGAGACCGTTTTTGTGCAGCACGTGTGGCTATACGGCAGCGAGTCGCAGTTCGCTCCGTATGCACGCGAGAGCCCACTCAGGCGAAAAGCCGTACAAATGTGTAGATTGCGACTATGCCACATCTGATCACAACTCTTTACGAAGGCATAGAATGCGCCATACGGGGGATAAACATTATAAATGTCCGCATTGCCCGTATGCCTGTATACAATCAACTACTTATAAAGCACATCTTTATAATAAACATCCAGGTAATTGTTTAAAAAAAATAAATAAATAAATAAAAAACCAAGAAATTAACTAAATATTTTGTTCAGGTAAAGATGAAGGTCTTATGTTTTCGTGCAGCCTTTGCCCTTTTAAAACAGTTAATAAAGAGAACTTCTTGACTCACACTTCCTACCACGCCGTAAGAGTCGACGTTGGCAAACAAGAGGCAAAAACGCCGACCATATCCGAAATTGAGTTCAGCTTACATGACTTCGTGAAAAATTCCAGCCCCGACCAGCAGAGCGTGAAAAACGCGAATCACATCGAAGACGAGGAAACGCCGAGCGGGACGCACTTCCTCTCACCCAGGGTGAAGATAGTCAAATCTGAGGTGCTTCTCAACGACCGCATGCTTTCCGAATCAAGAGTCCCTGGTGAGGACTGAACCCAAACCTCTTATTTTTTGTACATATTCGCTTTATTTATTATTTGTACATAAAGGACTGACAACAAACTGATCGTCTATAAAAAAAATATGTGTCTTCCAGAAAAAAAAAAAAAAAAAAAATACATTTTTAATAATCTATTCTCTTTTATTTCTCCTCTTATCGTTTCCAACCCTCAAATACCTTACACATAAATTGTCCTCAATTCCAACAGCAAATTCGCTGTACAGGGATCAGGAAGATTTTTCTTTTTTAATGACCTAAGTTTATGGCATAATAGCCAGAGTACAATTCCATTCATTATTTCATCGTTTTTAGTTGAGGGGGAAGGATTGAGTGAAAAAAGGGCCATGGGCAATGGTGGGAATAGACCACCCATAAGGTCTATGAGCCGAGAGTCTATCACACTGACCACTCGGCTACCACGATCCCCCTCGTTTTCCAGTTTGGAATAGCCATAAACTTTTGCGTTTTATTTTAGATCACTGTTTCTATTTATCTACATTTGTTTAAGTTCCACTTTTAGCATAGTTTCCGGACAAATAGTGTGGTAACAGCATCTTCTTTTCCTGCAATTTCCTAGTTGTTTTGCTTTCTTTTAATCATATTAGGTCTCTCTATCTCTCCCCACATTTGGGTGACACTATTAAATATTTACTGATGACATTAGACACACATCAGATCATATTGGAGCTGACGGAATATGCCCTTGACATTTTACTGGATTTTTCCTGTTTGGAATTTCATAGGAAGTCTGTATGTACATTTTAGTGGTGATGAGTTCAGTGTACTTCTATTGTATTTGAAGCATTCCATATCATTTTAGGATAGCGTATTTTTTTCCTAGGCTGTCTAGCTGCCGTGCGAGTTCCAGTGCCTTGGAATTTTGATAGACAAAATTTGGCTCTCCTACTGGAAAATTCTGGCAATCTATCATATTTGATGGAACTTTTGGGATTCTTTATTATTTTTAATTGTCCTTTGACACAGAGTGAAAAGTCTGTGATTCATATGCACAGTAAGACCATGGTTTCACTTTTTGCAATTGATGTTGCTTGTTCGGTAATATTAGCTGGGAAGAAATTCTTTCAAACATTTCAACAGTGTTTCTGTAAATCTCCTTCAAGACATCATTGTTTGCATTTCTTGTATTCATTAGAGTGAAGAATCTAAACCAACATGTAACTACATATTTTAACCTAACCTAAGTTTGGCAGGTCTCATGGTACTGGATATTCTGCTTAGGATCTGCCATCATTCATACTAATAAATACATTCACACTAACTATTAACTTTCAAACTATATCTACAATTAAAAATTTGGGAGGCACCAGGTTTTTTTTTTCTTTTTTTTTTTTTTGAGTATATACAACTAACCTAGGTTGACGTGCCCATGGGGAATTATATATTCTACTGTGGACTCACTCACACTAGACATTCAATCTGATAAATGCATTCATAAAATGTGTAAAGATAAAATTTGGAAAATCTAGGATATTTGATATTTTGATAAAGTGCCTCCCCCCTTTACCCTGAACACAATTAACCTAAAAACTAGCCTGATTTAGTGAGTTTGTTGGGTACTGTATATTCCACCACAAATACACACACATATATACACATGCTAATTCAGGATGATAAAATAACTAACCTAGTTTGGTGGGTGAGACCACTTAGGTGCCTGTTGTTGTTGTTAACACGGTAGAGCACGAAACAACAGAATGCAAAGAACTAAATTTGCAAAGAAAGAAATGCAGCATCCCAGTGACTTCAGTGACAGGAGGCACAGATCACTGATCAAGTACCTCAGGGTCATAAATATTTTTAATTGTATATAGATATAGATCTTTGTACCTTCATATATGTGATGTGTTATTGATTGTAATGAATGTACTTATTTGCGCGAAAGGAGGGGATTATGCCCATTTTCCTCAAGTAATATTGAGTTAGTGAGATTGAATTTTGGTATGCATGTTATCTATTAGCGTGAATGGCAGCCCTTATCCCCAATTTACCCCAAGAAATATTGATTGAGTAATCTGAGGTGAATAAATGTGTAAATATTACTGAGTACTATGGAATAGTATGAATGAAGCCTGGTGTGTTAATGTATTTTATTAGCATGAATGGCTGGGCATATCCCCAATTACTCTGAGGAATATCGTGTACTCTGAGGTAATAAAATTAAGTCTGATGTGTTAATGTAATTTATTAGCATGAATAGAGGGGCCTATCCCCAATTACATCAAGGAATATTGATTACTTTGGAATAGTGCGAAGTCTGGTATATTGATGTAATTTATTATTATAAATGCCTGGCTGGGCATATCCTCTGAGGAATATCGAGTCCTCTAAGGTAATATAAATGAAGTCTGGTGCGTGATTGTTATTTATTAGCGCGAATGGAGCAGCTCATCCACATTCTTGGAATATTGTAAACGAAGTCTGGTGTATTAATGTAATTTATTAGCATGAATGGCAGGGCTTGCTTATTCCCAATTACTCTGAGGAATATCATGTCCCCATATAAATGATGTCTGGTATGTGATTGTAATTTATTAGCTCACCCTGAAAATTTACTGCTAAAATCGGTCCTGATAGACATTTTTTCTTTTTTTTTTAATGTTATAGCATTTAAAAATATGTTTTTGCTTCTTTGAATTTAAATTTACCTTGCGTGCACACAAAAACATTTGCGGATGCATTCTAAAGTGCTTTCTCTTGTGAAATTTTGCACACATTATGATAACTTACAATTGATTAAAGTTTTTAGTTGAGATAAAAAAGTCAATGGCACGAGCGGGATTCGAACCCACGATCTTCGGCTTGATACGCCGCTACTCTACCACTTGAGCTATCGTGACCTCGATCCACTCGGACACCAACTTCCCATCTCAATCTCACCTTTTGAATTTCCTTCCTTTTTGCCATTTTCAAAAGGTGGGGTTGAGATGGGAAGTTGATGTTCGAGTGGATCGAGGTCACGATAGCTCAAGTGGTAGAGCAGTGGCGTATCAAGCCGAAGATCGTGGGTTCGAATCCCGCTTGTGCCATTGACTTTTTTATCTCAACTAAAAACCTTAATCAATTGTATGATATTAATTGGTCAAGCGGACCATGAAACTAGTGAATTTAGAAAGGAATTATCATAACTGTTACTTCCTTCAATAGGTATAAAATATGGTAATAAAATAAATTATTTTTTGGTTATGACAATGAAATCACACAATCCAAGGTAATCTATTGAAATAGGTATACGTAAAGGTGTAGTTAGAAAGTGGAATTATCGCAGTGATGATTTTTAAATTTAAAAATAAATTTCACAAATCAAATATTATAAATCCTTACTTATCTTGTAATTGATAACAATTTAAATTCATTTGATACGATAAAATTTATCTTCTCTTTAAACAAGCGCATTTGTCAACTTATATCTTATGTATTTGCAAACAAAGACAGTGTTTGTTAATAATAACTGAAAATAATAATTATTATCTTAAAAAGGTAGGGTACCTTGAATCAGATGTGATATATATACTTTCCATCGTCATTAGACTTAGTCATTTTAGTTACTTTTTTAGACATCTTTATACATTAAAACATTTCTATTCCTTATAGCCATTTATCTGACCTGTTTAAAATTTTCTTATTACTAACTTGTAATTACTAAGCTATTTTATTCCTTTTTATATTAGCAACTTTCATCTTTATACATTTCTATTATTTGGATTATCTACAATTATATTTATACCTGAGCATATATATTGAAAATATACAAATTGGTTTATATAAAATTTAAATTAAAGTTGAGAATTAGACCCAATATACAAGCTGAGCACTGTCATATAAGTTAAATTTGTCATTTACAATCGACCATTGCGATTGATCAAATTTCAGACTGCCATAAACTGATTGTGTTATTTTAAACTAAGTTTTGCACAGACAAAGTTAAAATAATTGACCTGGCTAAAACTATCTCTGCTTTATGAGAAAAATATTAGAATTGAAAGAACCATTCAGCATAATTTTTGAAAAGGAGAAAAATGGGAAGATAAAACAAAAGAATAATAAACTTAGATATTCTTCTATGATATAGCAACTGCTCAAATACAGGATATGGTATGGGTTTGGCGTAAAGAGGCCTAACTTTGCCCTCGGCCCCAACAGAACTATCTTTCAACTTGCACATAAAATTAATAATAAACATCTCGAGGGTAACAACAATAATTATACTATTGCCAGGGCATATAAGATCAACTCACAATGAGGTAGTATACATCACACTAACTTATTATTGTTAGGTTATGACTATGCTAGAGTTCCACAAGCAACTTTCTTGTTTTTATGACTTTTGTGCATTAGAGTGGAGAAGTAATCTATTAATTTACACTCCTAGCACAACTCTTATACACTTTTTAAGTTCACTAGTTTCGTGGTCCGCTTGTAAAAATGGCAAAAAGGAGGGAAAATTCAAAAGGTGAGTTTGAGATGGGAAGTTGGTGTCCGAGTGGATCGAGGTCACGATAGCTCAAGTGGTAATTAATTGTTCTATTCACTTTCCTCACTAGGGAGGAAATTGCAAGGTGCTTTAAGCATGTTAGATTGTTGGGAAAGATTCATGATGAAAAGTACTGAACTGGGGAGGGATTGAGATGAAAGTAGGGTTTTATTAAGAGGTCTGTATCACTTCTTGCAATTTTGGGGACCAACGGGATTTGAAGGCTGTGTGGATAGTAAAGATTGAAGTAAGGTGCTTGGGGTTTCCATGTTAATGTGAATACTTTGTCGAACCATACGGTTCAATCCAGATTAGTTGTAGTAGAAAGATGAGGCATTGTATGCCGACAAGTAGTCTTTTTTTAGTAGTTTAAATCGAAAGAAGGAAGTTATTTGCTGGGATTTAATTTCATTATGGTCCTGTATTTCTTGAATCATTCTTCCAAACGCTTAGACAATCCTGGAGATTCTGAAGACCACTACTGGATCTGGGTTCGTTAAAAAGATGGCATTGTATGCATTCACAGAGAGTATTATACCGGGATTAATATGAATGCAAGAGTGCGTACAGAATAGAGAATGGGACCAAAGATGCTGCCTTATGTAACACTTATTACAGCATATAGTAAAGGATGTTTTGTTTGAATTGGGTACATCTCTGGATTGTGGGGATCTCTGATTGGAAGCTACCAGTGTATTTTCCAATAGGTTCTGAGTATTTGGTTCAAGGACTGAACACTCCTGCCCCCGTAACTTCTTGCGTTCTAGATCCTTCTATGTACTGGTAGATGGTGGGTGCCTTTCTTGAAGACATGTTTCTTTCTTTTTTTGTGCCTAAGTTTATTTGGCAATTTCGATTATACTCGAACATCCTGTTCATGTTATCTCTTGAGGCCATGACTATGGGATGCTCTTTCGTTTGACTGTTGCTATTTCTTCTTTTAGTTTTATTTCCACTGGAAGTTTCTCTAATAATTCTAAAGCTGGGTTTCTACTGCGCAGAAATCTCTCGCGCAACTGTTTTGCGAGATTTGTCTCGCTTTGTAGAGCTGGTGTTGTGAAACTTTCGCCATGAAGATGTTTCGGAATGGCTGACCGACAGTTGGTTTTTTTTTTTTTGTGTACATCAGTATTTTGCGTTGTTTGTTTCTCTCTGTGTAAACACACTTGTCTCGAGGACTGGATTCGACTTATCTGAATGCATCACAGCTACCGATTTTTATGGGATGTTAAAGATAAAACAGTGGAACAAGAACGTGGAAGGAAATGAGCATCAAAATGGGACAAAGACAAGAAGTATCTCCATGATAGCAATGCTGCTGCAGCAGTTGTAGTTATAAACAGCATATCACGCAACCTGATGGCTTACCTCGTTTTACCTCTAGGTTGTGAAATGTTTTGCCTTGAGGAAATTATTAACCCGAGATGGCGTTTCACGAGTGATTCTTGCGTTTAGTTGTGCAAGTAATTTTTTGGCACAATGGAAACTCAGATTAATGAGTTTTCTGTTCTGTCCTCATTATCGTACAGTGGAGGTGGATTAATCCATCTCCATACCAGCTGTGGGACATGTTCTCATCGTTCCCGTTATACAGATGCATGCAAGTTTCTACATTTTTGTGAATCCTCTTCGTTTTTTATTTATTCAACTTCATTGGTCCAAGCTATTGTGCCATATGTGAGAACAGGTCTTACCATCAATGGTGTACAACCAAATCAGGGTTTCCGGTCTTCATCTCCAAATTTTTCCCGCTATTCTTCTGCAAACCATTAAAGTCTGTTTGGAGCGAGTTAACATCTTTATTATATTTTGGTTTTAACCCCCTTTCACACATTTACCTACAAGATTATTGCATTATTAAATTCTTCTAAAGGGTAGATTCATACCTCACCTCAACTCACATGAAGTAAATAAAAAATAAAAAACTACAAATATTTAGTTAACAATTAATTTATTTAAATATTAAATAACGAACAGAACATGGACTTTTGGGGGATGGGATAATTAATACACATTATTAATGAAAATTAATTCACTTTCTAATAATAATTATATAAATAAATTTACTAAATTCTCCAACTTAAAAAAAATATGGTTTGGGGACTAAAAATTTAATATGAATTCTATTAGAAATAAAGATATCCTTTTTTCTTAAAAAAAGATATTATTTACATTATTATATATATTAAGTTTTAAATATATATTTTCTTGATTTTGTTAATATTTAAATCTTTAGTTTTATTCGATGGCACGAATTTTTATTTATTTATTTTTTTTTTTTTAGTTAGTCCTTTTTGTTTTAAATTAGTTTTAAATTAGATTTTTTTTGTTTTATATTTTGGAATGTTTTTTGCTTTCCCATTTTTTTTGTTCTCTTTATGATCATCTGCTCGATTTTGGCGTGGTCCTTCCGCTTGGTGTGTTCCTTCCACTTGGCGTTCTGAAATAACAAAAACAAAACCACATTGATTTTGTCGCAATTTATAACAGTCGTAAATAATCATTGCGATCATGTCGTTTAGCTACCTCTGCTGCCTTATACCCATTGAATGGCTGCTTGTAAAAAAAATTTGCCAATATTGATTGTTATTTTTCAACTCAAAATTCGACAAAACAGAACATTTAATTTGCTTTTTTGGGAAAAATGTTTACCCTGATGATGTGGACGTCGGCGATGTCAAGGTTGAGTAAGAATAAATCGGGATCCTCGATTGGCTACATGTAAAAACAACGTTTGTCTTTTAAAACAGTAAATTCCCAGTTTATAAAACAAAAATAGCAGAAATAAAGACAAACAATGGCAACTTTTACACCCCAAACAGGACAAAACGCTTTTAAAAAATATTTAAAAACATATTTTGACTGAATGTAATTTTAAGAGTATACAATCTAAAATGCCCCATGTAATTTTTAAAAAATTTATTTCAATGATTGACTTGGCATCAATATTTTCTTAAAAAAAAAAGAAAAAAGAAACAAAAAGAGTAAAGTCCAAAGTACAAACATAATAAAATCAAATAAACATGCAAACACATGCTAAAACAAAAAGATAAACCAGAGACGAAAACTAAAAAAAGGCAAAGACGGACACACAAGCGCTAAAAGTAGAAAACAAATACCCTGAAGAGGAGGTAGAGTGCGAAACATCTCCGCTCCCAATGAATACGGGTATTTTCGAAGTGGAAGACCTGTAAAAATTAATAAAGTAGAAGAAAGGTGAAATTTCTAGAAGAGAAGGTGACACGACAGATAAAACCGAATTCGATAGCCGGAAGATGACATGCTTTCAACACTTTAAAGATGGAAACCTTTGACAATCCAACACGACATTCTCGAGGAAAGTTTGCTAAAATTATATCTCATTGTCAACACGTAATACGATAAATTATAAAATCATTGTAGAAGGCAAGCTTACATATGAATACTTACCTTAAAACCAAACATAGTAAAAAAAAATGCAAAAGTTTAAGAAGATGATTATGAGATAGCAAAGAAAACTTTTCTTAAGCAATCCTACATGATATGATAAAGTACACTGAGAGGCAAAAAGAAGTGGCCACCCTTAACAATTTTAATTATATCTTAGACAATCCCCCATTGACTATCTTACAACAATATTTAGTACGTTTTTCTAAGGATTAGAGGTAAATAAAACAGAAATTATTCGTGTTTACAATTGGATTTTGTAAATATATCTTTGAATAGTAAATTCTTTTTATGTTGGTTTTTCTGTAAAGCTTCTTTCTAACGCTTACTTTGTTCGAATCATGGTTTTAACTGATACAGATTCGATTAGAAGCATAGCATTCTTGGAAGAAGAAAATAGTCAAGCGTATGTGTCCAGGGTTATTCCCAGAACAACTGTCCGAAGGATCTTCCATCGCTACCAAGATACTGGCGGTTTCTAAAGAAGGTATGGATCAGGTTGCAATCGTGTCACATCGCACAGAAATGATCGTTTTATCGTTTCAAACGTACTCCATAATCGACATTCTACCGCTGAGATCAAGCAACGGCTTCGGCAAGTTAGAAACGTTGATGTTCAGAAGTCGTGCGAAAAGACCTGCCACTAGTCCAGAATTTCCAACAAAACAAAGTTTTGCAAGAAATCACATCAATTGGTCTGAGCAAGATTGGACTAAAATTTTGTTTTCAGATGAGTCATGGTTTTGTTGGAGGTCTTCTAACAGCTGAGAGAATGTTTGGAGAAGAATAGAAGAGTGAAATATCCCTGCAACATTTTCACTCCGGAAAAGCTATGGAGATGATGTTATGGCTTGGGCAGGCATTTCTATGGAAGGTCGCACAAACTTGATCTTCATCGAGGGTTCACCAATTAAAGATGTGATATCAGAAGTTGTTCTTTATATCCCACTAATTGGCGACTTTTATTTTTATGCATGTACTTGTTGGTAAACAATGCAAGGCCCCACACAGCCAGGATCATTGTTAACTACTTGGAATGGGCTTCAATTCAATGTTTGGAGTGGTCAGCATGTAGTAACTTAACCCTATCAAACACCTTTGGGACAAGTTGTCAAAGAGAATCAAAAGTCACCTAGTGGTGACAGACTTTGCAGGAATTATGAATGGCGCTGTTAGAGGACTATGAAAATATTTTTCATAAAATCTCATCAAATACTACACTGAGGAAATACTCTGTACTGAATTGAATATTTTCTTATTTTATTCAAAGTTCCCATAGCAACATTTTTGTTAAAACTGTTTTAACTTAAACAACAGGTTAATTTTTAATTAATAATTTATGTAGCTATATCTTATATTTTTTCTTTAAAGTACTACTTTTTAAAGTATTAAAGTAGTTACTTAAAAAAATGAGGGTTGCTGCTTTTTTGCCTCTCAATGTATAAAATAAATGTCTTTTCTTCGCCTTACATGCAATTAAAGCGATTAAACTAATTTTGCTTTAAGCCTTAGAAAAATAATTTCTTAAATTACTGATAAACATTAATAAATTATAATTAACAAAATTTTCCTCAAGAATGTTTCAATATAGACATAAAAAGCAAACACCATTTTTTTCCCCACAGCGTATTCAAATTTGTCCTTTTACCTATTCGCCAGTGTGGGTATACTCGACGCCCTTGTCAATTTTCCCCTGATTTAAAAAATTATGTTAGTTAAAAAAAAATATAAAAAAAAAAATTAAACAATATCTAGATTTGTATTTAGCCTTTAAAATGTACTGTTCAAATATTTTTACCTTCCAGAGGGTGATTTTGAGCCATTAAGAGCACCAGGTGCTGTCATTTTTCGCTGAGTAGCAGTACCTGTTGTACTGGTGCGAGACGGGACTGACATACGAGGAATCCGTGAAGGAGTACCGTCATCTACCACAGAAAAATGAATGGAACACATATTTATATTAATGCATTAAAAAAAATTAATATTTACCTGAGCTTGCCAAGGATAGGTTCGAAGCATGTCGAGATGGCGGTTTGCTGTTTTGCCTTGAAGCCGGCCTGCTGTTGCTCCGGCTGCCTGGAAGGGAACCAGGAGTAGAGGACGAGGGCGCCCTAAGTGAACTCTTACGAGGAGTCATGTAATTAGGCGTGTGCGGTGATGAGTCGAGGTCGCTGAGCGAGTCGACCGAACCGGGCGTACCTCTCGAACTAGCCATGGGGACGCTCTTGCTCGACTTTTCGCGAATCTGCAAAATATACAATTTTACATACGCCCCTTTTTTTAAATCAATAATCCATTTAAAGGTTTAACTCTTGAAGTACCTGTTCTACAACTTGATACAAAATCAATCAAATTAAAATAATTCCGGCTCAATGCTCTCTTAAGTCAGATTAATGCGAAAGGAATACTTTGGTACTAATATATGGATAATGGAATCTATTCATGTGCGTAAATACAATTTGGACAAATTTGCTGTCAATATCATTTATCATTAGATGTCTGAAAATGTACTTTGCTAATTCCTAAAATGGGTGGATAACTAACTTCTAATAAAACTCAGGACTTGCAGATTCATTAAAGTCTTACAAAACTAAAGTTCACATTTATATTATTTTTAATTTAGACCATCTAATTTAAATGTATTAGTTTGTATGAGTTGATGCAAGAAAAATATAAGAATGAGTAAAAATAATCACCATTTTCAACATTTCTAAGTATTTATACAATTGTTTCTACTATTCCAATGCTTGGGAGTTTATCTCGATGTTGAACAGACTTTCAAGAAGACTTTAGAACAGACTGGCGCGTGGATTTGGATCTTCACTCTCTATTTGTGCAAGGTGGATTCGGGAGTCCCTCAGGGCAGCATCCTTGGCCCACTACTGTTCTCAGTATATACTGATGATATCCCTTTACTATCCTTACACTGATGATACTGCCTTCTCTCCTCTAACTTTGACCACGTTTAACTCGCCAAACCCTCCATATACACATTGCATCAAATGATTGTTCATAAACTGGTGAATCAAACTAAACACTACAAAATTCCAAAACTTCATACTCTGTCAATTCCTCTACCTCCAATCTATTTAATTATTGACCGATTCTCAACTGATTTATCTCGGATTGTACTTTTTATGCTCCTCAGGCATGTCCGTAAACCCATGTGATTCTGAACTTTTCTTCTCTTTTTAGTCCCAAAAAAGGTCTCTAATAAAGCAAATGACCAATCACTTCACTGTACGCTAGCGCGAAGTAAATGAAAATTTGGAGTACATTATTATTTCATGGTCCGCTTGACCTATTAATATATTACAATTAATTAAGGTTTTTAGTTGAGATAAAAAAGTCAATGGCACGAGCGGGATTCGAACCCACGATCTTCGGCTTGATATGCCGCTGCTCCACCACTTGAGCTATCGTGACCTCGATCCCCTCGGACACCAACTTCCTATCTCAACCGCAACTAAAAACCTTAATTAATTTGGAGTACATTTATTTTCCGATTCCTACAATTGAATTGCCATTTGTACATTTTAGTAAGGCCATATATTTCACCGTGATGGATCTTAACTCAGCTCATCACCAGATCCTGCAGACTCATCATAAAGACTGACTGCAATCACTACCCCATTCGGCATCTCTCTTGCGAGAAGCATTTTTTCACAGCTAATGGAAACAGTCTTCTAGGATTTGACGCATAACTTCATATTTTTCTACCTCGACAAAATTTGCATTTACAGTTATGAAGATAGTGTTAGAACAATTGAAACAAGCAAAATTGATAGTTAACCCAAAAAGATACAACCAGCCAATACAAAAATTAGGTTTCTGGGGCATGTGACAGAACGAGGTCAGATCTCAATAAATAGGAGAGGATTAAAGTCATCCTAAACGTAGCTAGACCAACGACCCTAAAACAAATCGCCCAATTTTAGGCAGCATCAATATTTTCAATATGTTTACACACGGCCATCTGCCTGAGGATAGTCGTGCCATTACAAAGCTCACCACAAAAGAGTATGAAAATTCAATTGCGGTTTACTGATCTCGCACCCCCCCCCCCCCAAATAGAACAGTTCTGGACTATTCCAATTCCATCTGTATACTACTAATAATACCAGATATTTTCAGAATTTGGGCGGAAGCCCAATACAAAGATTCGGACCTCAAAAAAATCATTGAAAATTTAAGAGCCAAGATCAATGTTCCAAATTACAAACTTCGATGTGACAAGTTCTACTATGAGATATCCCCTGATGATGAAAAGACTGTAGTACCAAACAAACTCAAAGATATAGTATTTAAATACGATCATACCGAACCAATTGGCTCCCACCATGGCATTACCCGGACAACGAGCAAAATTAGGGAATGTTTCCATTTTGACGGCAGGCGAAAGTTTGTTCCAGAATGAGCGAAGAGATGCTTACCATGCCAAAGAGCTAAACTAGAACAGACAAAGGGGAAACTCACCTGTATTATAAGCGATAAACCACAAGAAATTTTATTCATCGATTTTGGCATTCGTCGACATTGTTCACCTTCTTATTTCCAATTAGAAATGGTTATAAAAAAACTATTTTGTGTCTAAGGGACAAAATTTTACCATTTCTGTTACTGACCATCCGTTACCATTGACAATTAAATCTTTAAAGCTAAAGCCTTCCACCAATATCTGTTTAGTAAGTGTCAAGAAATCCTGATTTCTGAACAAGATTTATGAAATTTAAAACTCTCTTCGATCACTATTTCAGTGAGGAACAAATGAAATGGTCTCACAACCTATACTTTTTCCAGCTAGAACTCAATGGTGCTCATGATTCCTCGACGGGGTTCACACTGGTGGAAATATTTCTCTGAAGAAAAATAATTACCCCCCCCCCTTAAATTTGGAATGGAATATCCCTGCCATAAATACTGAAAAAGACACAAAACATATTATCTTATCAACACAGAAATGTCAAAGATTTCCCACAAATTTTCAGAACCCTACATAATGAGCAAAGTTCTCTCGGGTGTCTCCTATGAGGCTTAACTAGCAAACAACCCAATAAAAACAAGAAGGGTCCATATTTTCTAGAGGATCACAAATTTCACAAGTTTGGAAAAAATGAATATAGCGTGGAAACAGTTTGGTAATTTCTGTTCATGCTGTTTGATAATCATTGTTTGGTCAGACATGTTTGACATTATTGTTTATTACTGTAGATTTTTTTTTATTGTTATTAAATTCATATGCATTAGGAAGAAACCTCTCGATTTAAAGAAGTTTCAAATGAGCTAAACCTGCAACAAGTTGAATTTCTTCAGGTTAATCAGTCAAAATCTCAATTGTAGAATTGTTATTTGCAACAGCGGACAAACTGCGGAAAACCCACTACAGGCCTCAAGACAAAGTCCTTTAAAATAAAACAATGCAAGCCGGTCCCCGTCTTAGTGATAAGTTTTAGTTGTTAAAATAAGAACAAAATAGGGTAAACGATGAAAGGGAACAAAGTTTGCAACTCTGAAGGGGCGAAGGGGACGACGTGACGTCCCCCACAAATCTGTCAAACATAGCTTGGAAATGGTTACCCAGGTAGACTGATAGATAAGAACGTCGAAGTGTGTGGCAGACCCAGGCTGGACCCACGTCTTGTTTCCCAGGAACCTGGAGGATAAAGTAGCAATAGCTGGACAACCGATCAAATAAATAACTATCGTCTAGTTATTTAATGCTGAAGGGTTGTCACACGGTCAAAAATATGTAGCCACGGGGGGACATCGTAAATTGGGGTCGTGTCAACCCTGTGCTCGACACCCGTCTTCACCGGCCCACCCGCGGCGTGGGAACTCTCCCGACTTTTGAGTTTCCTTTCCGCCCCTACTCCGGGAGAGACCCGGTATAAAAGGGATGACTGGGAAATCAAACGCCAGTCAAAATCAAAGACTCACTCCAGGCAGTCAAAACTAGAGACTCGCCCCCTAGGCAGTCAAGGCCAAGGACTGGGAGAGAAGCAGCCACATTCCGTCTGGGATTCAACAAGAGGACTCAGCCAGCCAGAGCCAGCGAAGATCAGCCATTGCGACCAATTGAGCCAAGTCAACGATCGAGAGAAAAGATGCTTTGGACACTGATCGTGGCGAGCATCGTTTGGGGTAAGTCCCTTTGTTGATAGACTCATCCCAAATTTAGAGTTGTGGCTGACTTGTAGATTAATTAAGATTCTGTGGTTTGGGTACCGTTAAGAGAAGGAATTGTGTGAAATAAATGCTCTCTGGTTTATTGAATTCTGGAACCTTACCTTCCCCTACACAAGAATAAGTAGCGACGCGCTTACGCCGACTAATCTTTTGTCGCTTAGAGAAAAGAAAGCGAGTATCGAGAGATAATTCGGCCACCGTGCCATCGTCCGCTTACAACAACATTAATTTTCTAAGAACATAACAAAATGGTTTCAACTTAACAAAACAAAACAAAACAAAAACCAATGTGATATAAAATTTCAAAGTTAGGTTTTTGAAAAAAAAAAAAAAAAAAAAAAAAAAAAGAAATACATTTGGTTACAACACAATTTTCCTTACAAACTAGCTGGTATTCTATATTCTCCCACTATCCTGACCTAACACCTTCAGACTACAACTTTTTCTCAGCTCCTATTTTAAGAGAAAAACGGAAAACTTTTTCTTAAAACAAACACACAAAAAATGGAGTGAAATTACTGAAGGATTGAACAGCATTCCTCCCCTAGATTTCAATTAAAATTAAATTATGAGTGCATATTTGCAAGTTTGAAAAAAAAATACTGGTCATATTAAATTTAACAGTCATTTTCTTTAACTCTCTCTAAGAGTGCAATCAAATTTGTACATATATTGAGAATAAACAAAACTTCTACAAGGAATATGTTATGTTACTTATTTATAACTACAATTATAATGCTAATTACTGCTTTATTTATACTAATTAATTTCTAATAAATTAAATTCTAAACATTTAATTTACTAGTCAAAGAAAAAACAAATATGTACAGAGATACATGAAAGTACATGTTCAGACATCTTTGTATGGATAATTAAGGTATTTTGGCCTTTTCAACTTTGTTCCTAGAGAACACGCTACCGCCTCTGTCTTACCTGGCACGTGTGCGGCGTGTGGATCCTCTGGGCGACGGTAATTGGGAACTCGCTCTTCATCGCGTTCTCCTCTCTCTCGCGCAGCTTCTCAAATATCGGCATCAGTTCGCTCAGGAGCTCGCCAGCTTTTAGAATTAAACAATGGGGTGGAGGGGGGAGTTTAATTTCAGAAATGAGAAAGCTCATCTGAATATGGCTCGCTTTCAGTTTTTTTTTCTTTTGATCAAACGTCATTTTGCAGGATGGGGTGGTAAACAAGTACCATGAGAAATAACATGCAAAAAGCTTTCCCAACAAAATACGCACACACGCACACAAACTTTTTTTTTCCTTAAAAGGAAACTTACCTCCCAATTTCAGGATTTTGCGTTTCACATTGTTTCTGCCTGCTCTGCCATGCTCAGAAATTAAAGAACTCCAAATGAGGGAGAAAAACCGAAAGGAAATTCTGCTATCTTAATTATGAAGAAATAATTGAAAGTAATAAGGGTGGGAAAGAATGAGCAATAAAGCAAAAACACATAAATGTTAAAACTTTCAAATCAGCAAAGTTTGATAAATAAGTTGAAACTTTATTATTTGAAATGAAGAATGAATCAACAGAATCATCATATGTAGTACTGGAAAATGAATAAGAAAAACACGTATGAAACAGAAAATGAGAAACTAAATTTAAAAAAGCTCACTATTAAAAGGAATAAAAAATCAGGAAGACAGCAGAATTTTTAAGTATGAAAAGAAACCAACATAGCTGAGAAAACAATGAAATAAAATTAAAAAAAAAAAGAATTGAATAGTTTAAAGGATAAACCCCAATTTTATCATCCTTCATGAGCAAAGAGCCTTTTAGAAAAGTGCCAAAAATACCAAATGAAATCTAAATAGAGCGGAAATGTGTCATTAGAGAGCAGAAACTTACCTTTGTAATCGGTCCAGTGGTCGGCATGGGGCTCCCTGATTTTTTCTCAGTGCTCAATTTCGGCTTGAAAGCGCTCATGGATTGGGATACGCCTTCAGGGAGAATGAATTGCTCCCTCAGCTCGATATTCGTCCTTCCCTTAGCTAAAACATCCCCCATGGAAAAGAAAAAAAGATAGTAAAGAAGTGAAGAAAGATGGCCGAAAAACCTCCATTCCACCCGCGGTTCATTTCAATGCTGAGTCCTTAATGATAAACGAGGGAAGAACACTTTAAGAATTTACTACAGAAGTATGGAAAATTTTTTGTACATTTTTTCTTTTCAAATTTACACAATTTAAAAAAAATGGATTTTTAAGAATGATGACAAGGCCAGAATGTCAGTCGTAAATAGAACAGATCAAATTGAAATAAATGACTAAAAAAGGGGGGGGCAATGGTCATCAAATCGAATCCATGACTGCAAGGTCTACAAAGATTTCTATGATGCGTACCAGTCGGGACTGCAATAGCAATCCCCGAATGACTTACATGACATATTGACACCCTTTAATCATAGATGAATTTAATTATGCGAGTCGAACTCATGCTGAACTGCCACTGGGTCACTTATTGGGTCCTTCGCTCTCGGGTTTGTTGAACAACTTACGTTTGGCATAGCTCAGGGTCTCAATGAAAACGGTGCAACGCCAAAAAGCAGTCGAGTAGTTCAACAAACACGAAATTGAAGGACCCAGTGCCGGTTCAGAGCATGAAACTTCAATTATCCAAAAATTAAATGTGAAAGATTACATTTACACAAAACTCTTTCAGATTCTTGCCCAGGAAAGTTTTTAGGTTCAAGACACTAATCAGAATGTATATTGTAAATGCTAGATATGATCAATGGATATCTTGCAGAAGAAAATACACAACCTAAAAAATTTATATTTTTTTAAACTGAACTTTTCATATAAATGAACTTACAAAGCAATCTTGTTTATTTAGTTGCTTTTATTTTTTATTTATAGATATGTTTAGAAAGCGTGAAAAGCCAGAGATGGCATGGCCCAGAGTATACTTACTTATGCGGTGAGCTTGAGCCTCTAAGTTCTTTAATAAAAATAAAAAAACTAGAAGAAGAAACTAAGTTTGTTTTCTTCTAAAACTACTCAAAAATCTTAGTGCACACAAAAAAATCGTGCATTTGTGCATGTGTTCAATAAAAGAAACAAAAAACAGAGGCATAAACAAAGATAAAACTCAAAGCCTACCTTCTACCATCCTTTAACTTCCCTCCAAGAAGATAAAAGAGAAAACCAAAACAAAACAATGCAAAAGAAGGATAGCTTATCACCAAGGGAACACCGGAAATGCACAAGGCCGGCTCACTTTAGAAGTCATTAAATTTTGATTTATAAAACGATTTATAAAAATTATAACAAAAAATATTTTTTTCTAACAAAAAGCACCAGACCTTGTGCAGATTTTTGACAAATTGTCTATATTTAAAAACTGAAAGCGATGGTTTTTTTTATAACGACATCACACGGAGCAGTTTTTTAAATGCAACACTACATTATAAAAATAAATAAAATTGAAAACACATGCAAAATACATGCACCAAAACTTAAAAACCGTACAACTAAACAAAAACAAAAAAAAAGTTATAAAATATAATTCACTAAAAAATAAATTAATCAAAAAGGATACAGGAAAATAATTTTTAAGGATATATTATAAAAAAAAGAAAGGGTTACGTTTGTCCGGAAAATATAAATATAAGGGTGAAATTGGGAATAACTGAAATTCGTAGTTATCATGGCAAAAGGGACAAAAATGCCCATGTCCACAACTGATCATTCAGCCAATTTTACACATCGTCAGCATGAAACGTCCTCAAAGAGAATTTACACTGAGCAATTTTATTTCCCATCGGGCGTTACAGGCTGAAAAACTGCATATGACATTCATCTGTCGCATTTATATTAAAAATAAATAAATAAAATAAAAAAACAGTGACGAGTGTGAACATGGGAGGGATGAACCACACAGACGGTTAGGACTAGGAAAAATAAAATAAAATAATGCCTAGCCACATAAAATGAAATATCTGGATAAATTAACTTTGTTATTGGCCAATGGATGGTAAAATTAAAATTTTTCCCAAGAGCTAAACTTAACGAACCAATGAAATTTAGCAACAATGTGAAAAAAAAATCAAAATAATTGATAATTCTATTATGTGAATTTCTCCTTATTCTTTAATGATAAAGGACAACAGGTGTATGGAAAAAAGGAATACCATGATCATGAAAGTAAAAACTTAAAAAACAAAAATAACGGATAACGGTATGTAAAAAAAAAAGTAAAAAGTAAAAGCCATGCCGAGTTTTCATAATGAATCTTTTTGAAACAAAACTTTAGTACAATTAGAAAAATTAACCAATGAGATGAAATGAGAAAACAAATTAAAATAGAAGACAACACTCAGTATTTGTTAAAAAATTAAAAAATAAAAAAAATAATAAAATAAATAAATGTTTCGTGCTTCTACAGAACATATAAAACAATACCACTTAAAACAATTTTTCCTCTCTTTAAAAATGTACAAAATTAAACGAAATTTCTCTTGTTTTGATCCACATTTATGAACATTTTATTCAGATTTATTAATTTTTCAATTCGGGGACTTACATGACCGTCGGACGCTTAAAGGGCACCATGCCTCATGCTCTTCCGGAATAAATGGGTTTGGTATTGGCAGCATCTCAACTGACAGCGTAAAGAAAAGCAGAGAGGGTAAGGGAGAAAAATGTTTTTTGTGTGATTTTTAAAAAGAGGGATTGACATTTAAAAAAAAAATTATATATATAATCCAGACAAACGAGGGGGTTGAAACAGGGTTGAAAAATAACAAGGATCAGGATTTGGGGAGGGAAAAGGGTTTTATAATATTAGATAAAATACATTTTTTTTAAAACAAGTAATTAGAAATGGCACAAATTTCAATCTGCTACAATCTAATTTTTGCATGTGATTCGGTTTTATGTTATTCCCAGTCAAAACAGAAGGCAGCCGATTTATTTTATAAACAAATGTTTACGTGTAACCATGTAATAAAAAAATAAAAATCAATTTAGTTTAAAAATTCACTGGAATTTATTCAAGTCAGAGGTATATCTGATAAAGGATTTTGTATTGATTTTTGAAATTGATTTTATGCAATGATAATCCAGCACAGTTCTGAAATTCTGATCTGATTTTCATGTTTCAAGTTCAGATTGATGCTTATACAACTGTACATCATACAATCTGATGTCAGTCAGATGTATTCCTAAAACCATATAACTGCCAGATCTGACATCTTTTCAAACCGTCGGATCTGACAGTAGCTGTCTGACAATCAGATTTGAAAATGTGTGGCTGGCCTTGGTTCTTTTTTTATATGTCGCAATGAAATAAATAAACTAAATTGTCTAAAATTTCATCAATTGGAATGATAATAATGGGAGATGATAGCAAAGTGTCTACAGTTAAAAAAAAATTTAAATCTAAAATCGGCTGCCAACAGAATGGTGGGAATTTTTTAAATTTTCTTTTAATCACGTAAAAAGTGTAATACTAAAAGCTCACCCCTGCAAGGATCATTCTTAACAAGGAACTCCTCTAAAGCAACCCATCCGCCACCGACACGGACCATCACGGTCGATCTGAGAATACGCACAAGACGAAGTTTCTGCGAGTCGCCGAACTAAAAACGGACAACTGTTAAGATTCATTCGGCTAATATATTTCGTCGGATATTTACCCTATATTTCCCTTCTCCGACTTGGAAGACACGGAACTTCTGCCGGCATGTACAGAGCATGACGAGCCTCTTCACCTCGTCGTGGATCTTCTCGGCTTCCGTGGTCGGTTTCTTCTCCTCCCAGTCGGGCCTGAGGGCGGCTATGAATTCCTTCCAGTCGATGTAACCCTCGGAATTGTGGTCGAACATATCCGCGACTGCGCCCATCTCTGGCCGATTCGTGTCGAATTCTGTAAAGCAATAAAAATCAATTCCACCGAAGAAGTTTACTATTTGTCAGAATATCAAAAAAGTGACAATCAATCAAAAAAGAAAAAGTAGTAATTAATAAAAATCAATTCCTGAAATTTGTAAAATAAACCCTTACTGGTTTTGATAATTCCATCTACAAAGTCATCTCTCGGGATGAGGCCATCGTTATTCTTGTCCATCTTCCTGAAGAGATCTGTGAGCCTAGATTTCTTATGATTCATAAATCGAAGGAACTGAAACAAGTGAAATTGGTAAAAATAAAATCATTTCGATACAGTGTGTTAATTTTTTAAAAATAAAACGTACGCGTTTTCTCCAATCGTCCCATGAGAAGTTTGCAAGGCGTTCTAGCTCTCCTAAGTGAAGGAGGTGGTCCCTCAGCCTTCTCTGGCGTTCCCACGACATAAGCCACGCTGAGCGCCACCGGTCATAGAGCAAGCGTGATCTAGCACATTTGAACTGAGGTTCTGGAGTTTTGCTGTAAAGGTGAATAATACAAAATTTAGCTTTTAGTTTTTTATTTAATTTTCAAAAAATTCCAATTAGATGGTTATGAAGATGAATTTACTTAGTGACAGCTTACACATTTACTTACAGTTAATTTTAAATTGATCATTGTAAAAAATGTCATTAAAAAAAAAAATTAATTAAAAAACTACAATGTTAAACAATATTAGTGATTGATAAGTACAAACAAACTTACTTTTAACAGTTCAATCATTACAGATAATCTTTCTTTGGAATTATTTATTACATTAGCTTAATTAATAAATTATTTGTAATAATAGGACTTCTTATAAATATTCATCTATTCACAAGAAATTCCAACAAACAGTACAATTTACGGGGAAAAAAAAATACTACAAAAATGCTTTCATTTGTGCCATATTTGATGAGATAATTATAATCTTAGACGAAGTGAATGTGAGCAATATGATAATTCTCACCTTCCTTTAGTCGGGAACTTAGGGCCGATATGCGGAAGCGTTGGGTCCGAGAACTCTTTACCAGAACTACGACTGATTTAAGAAAAAAAGAAAGAAAAAACATAAAATCATGCAAAAAAACATGCCAAAATTAACACTAAAAACAAAACAATTTAAAGAAAAAATACAACTTATTAAATGTTACCTGGTTCTTCTCTCAATAAGTAAGTGCTCCCGAGAAGATTTCAAACTGAAAAATGATAAAATTATAATTTGTGAAAAAAAAATTAAAAAGCTAATAATTTCTACCTCTGCCTTCTAGTAAGTTCGTGGAGTTCCTGAGTGCTCCTAAACAAAGACAAATTAAATATTTAAAAATAATTAAAAATCAATAATAAATTTACCCTGATTTCTTAGAAACTTTTCTTTCTTTGATTGTCTTTGCTTTGACCACCATGTCTATTTCTGTAGTGCGTTTTGCCATGGTCTCCATGAAGAACTGGTGTTCGTCGACGAGCACTTGAGTCGCTGGTACGTTATCAGGAAGTTCTTGGTGTTCGAGGGAGATGAGTGTTGACTCACACTCGCCCAGCCATGCGAGTAGCTCTTCCAATAGAGCGTCCATGTCTTGGAGAGAACGCAACTGAGCTTTAAGCTTGTCGTTGCGCTGGCGTGACCATGAAGTGACCTCGTCCCATCGTGATTGTATTACAGAGATCCAGTGTTTCACTACTTGAACCGCATCAGGATGAGCCTTTCCTAAAATTTCCTCTGCGAGTCTGATTGTCGAGTCTTTCTCTCTTTCCTTGTCGGCCAACTCGCGCATGAACTTCTCGTGCTCGCTCATCATGATACGCGTTTCGGTCTCATCGTCGGATAAATTGTCGACGAGTCTAAGTTTAGATTCTGCGTCAGAGAGCCATTCCAAAAGTTGATGTACACTTCTATGCAGCTCTTCTGCCTGTTTCAAAGCCGACTGAAGCTTGGCACCGCGTTTCTGTGCGAGGTGTGTGGTCTTCCTCCATAAATCTGTCATCTCAGAGACTTGATCTGACATCTGTCGTGCGTCGCTCTTTGAAGCAAGCTCTCTTCCGGATTTTTCAACGGATTCAACTTGACTCTTGCGATTTTCCATATCCTGCTCAAGGTTTTTGTGTTTCTCGATCAAATTCTGTACAGTGTCGAGATCCCCATGGACGGGACCGTCTTCAGACAGATCTTTGTGTGTCTTTCTAAGCCAGTCCAAAAGAGCATCAAGCGCGTCTTTGACTTGCCCACAGTATAACAGTGCTTCTTCCAAATTTCTTTGTCTGACAACAGCTTTAGAACTTACAGTATTCCACAATTCCTTCAATTCAGAAGCCATGTTTTTCAATGTCAATTCATCGACTTTCGGTGCTCGTTCCCTTAAAGTTTTAGCGGCCCTTAATGTAGCATCGTAGGCAATCTGTTTACCTGCAATAGCTTTCTGTGTTTCTCTGTGTTTGACGAGCCTTTGTCTGAGTTTAATAGGGTCATTTGCTGCGGAGTTGATGTCAGTAAGCATCTCGTCGAGTTTTACGTCAGTTTCTCTAAGCCAGTTCATCAAATTAGACCAAGAATCGTGGAAATCCTTCGCTTCTTTGTAGCCGTGATCCAGTGCTCGTGTTCTTTCCGCACTTTTGCTCACAACCCTTTCCCAACGATGTTGGACGCTTATTAAAAGGTTTTTAATAAGGATCACATCCTGTTTTTGGGAAAAGTATTTGAGATGAGTTCCTTTTTTGTCAAGCTGTAGCATAGTCTCCCGGTGGACACCGACTTCTTTTTGAAAAGCTTTGTGCTCTTCTATTTGATTCAGGATAGTTTCTAGAACTCTAGAAACGGGTTTAAGGTTGGACAGAGTCTTTTCAGCCGATGTCAACCAGTTCATGAACGACTGTAATGCATCATGGAACTCAGTGGCTTCTTTCAGAGCGATCTCAAGTTTGATTTTCTTGTCATTAGCCCGCGAAGTAACAGACTCCCAACGAGACTTGAGCGTTTTGAGGTTTCCTTGTGTATGGCTCGAACTTTCAGAGGGGGACTTGCGAAGCATTTCGGCTCCTCGTTGGAGGACCGCCTCCACACGAGGTCTTGTGCCCTCGAGCTCGTCATAAACGACCATGAAACGGTCCAGCTGCTCGGATGCAGTTTCCGGAAGGCCTCCGACCGGTTTGGATGAAGCTATGACAGAATCGACCTCTGAGAGCCATCCTAGAAGATCTTGAATTTCGGCCGAGAACCTAAAATTCGCATAGAATTACAATTAATTTTTTCAAACATATAGAAAATAAGTACCTTTGTCCTTGTCTTAAAGCTTCTTCGAGTTCTGTCTGCCTGTCTGCTGCTTTGTCTAAGAGCGCTTTCCATTTTTTGTTCAGATCTTTTAATCTCTCTTGAGTAGTGTCATCCGCTCCTCGACTCTCCTCGACGATTTGACGGCCGGCATCATTCAGAGTATCCACTGAACTCTGATGTGCAGTCATATCATTCATCAAGACCTAAGAAACAAGATTTGTGAAAATGTGAGATGTAAATAAAAATTCAATTGATGTACCTTTAATTTGGCAAGTTGGACTTCAAGGAGGTGAGGGTCGACTGCAGTCGGGCTCATTTCTGTATCAAGGCTCTTGTCCGTGTTGGAAATCCATGTGAGCAGCTCTGAGAGAGCCTGCTGGAACTGTCCAAGGCGGAGGAGGGCGTTCTCCAACTGTCGGTAGCGCTCGGCTATGCCTCGGTGGAGCTCATCCCACCTCGAGTTCACACTCGAGAGGGACTCTTTCAAGCCCTGTGCTTGCTCTGCTGTACTTCTCTCAGTCAGTTCTGCAGCTTGCCTGTTTTAAACAGATCATAGATATTTTAAAAATCTTGGTCAGCATGATTAAAACTATTTCTCAGTGGATTGTTTTACCTCCATAAACTCCTATGTAAGCATAATTAATAATAAAATTGATAAAAATACGAAATAAATGATATGTTGTAAAATATCAACAAAGAAAACAATAAAATGACATACCTGTTTAGCGACTCTACTTTGATCATCATCGGGTCGAGGGAAGCCTTCAAGTCCTTCACCTCTTTCATCTGCTGTCTTATTGTTCCGATATCCTCGCCAAGAGGGCCAAGAGCTGAAAACCTGTTAAAAAATCCAAGTCAGAACAGTCTGTTTTTGACAAGTTTTTCATTTTCAGAAAGACGAACCTTGATTCTGCCTGTTGTAAGAATTCTTTAAGGGCTTTGAGAGTTTCGTGAAACTCCATTGCTCTTTCCATGGCATCGAGGAGGTTTTCTTCGCGACGGGCAAAGAGACTGGTGACCGTGTCCCAAGCTGAATCCAAGTCTTCGATGTTTTTCCTTACTTCGGGTTTATCCGCTTCTCCACAGAGCGCCATGAGGGAAGCTCCTGTTTTCCTCACATCTTCGACACGTGGTTTGGTATGGTCGATGTCACTCTTGACGATGCCGAGAGCTTCGCCTTGCCTTCTAACCAGCTCTGGTTTAAGAGCAGGAGGTTCTTGTTCTATGAGAGTCCTCTCGATTTCAGCTAATGTGGTCATGACTGCTTCTAGGGCAGACCAGAACCTTGCTGCCACCTCCAGAGCTTCTGAAAGTGATTTGTTTCTTGTTTTTGTTGCATCGTTTACTTCCTTCCATAATTGTTGTAACTTGTCCAGTTTTCTCTTGATATCCTTTACAGCTGGATCACTTGAGGGTGATTTAGCGATTACATCGCTCGCTGCTTTCTTTACAGCTTCAAAAGCCTCTTCTCTCTTTGCAACCTCATCAATAAGCGCTTCATTTTCTTTCAACTGTTGTCTGATCTTCGGCGGGTGGGCAGATACGGGTTCTGCGGAGTTCATTTCTTCAGCCGCATTGCTCAGTGCTCTGAGCATGCCTTCGAGCTTATCTGAAAATTCTGAAGACTCTTGCAGAGCTTTCTCGAGCGCTTCTTGACGAGCTTTGAGCATATTACGGAGTTCATTGTAGCGTGAGTTATCCGAGTCGAGCATCTCCTGTACTTTAGTTCCTTCCTCATATGGCACGAGTTTGATGAGAGATTCTCCCGTTTTGTTAAGCTTGTCAACAAGCGGTTTGTGCTCGGAGATGGATTGAAGAAGTCGCTGAAAATAGTAAAAGGTAAAATTTTGGTCAACCTTAGAAATACTAATTGTGATTTTTTTTTTAAAGCAAGTTGGACTTACTTGTGTAACGGCTTGATCTTGAATAAGAGCTTGGGGCCTAAGTGAACTCGGTCTCAAGTTCCTGGCCTCAGTCGTCTTTTCGTCCAACCAGGAAACTAGTTCGCTGTGGGATGATTCGAAATGCTGTGCGAGGCCGAGAGCTTGCTCGAGAAGGCTAAGGCGATCTCCAGAAGCCCTCCATACGCTGTCCATCGTCTCTCGAAGGTCTACCATCTTGTCTCTCATGACAGAGTTGTCTTCGTATTGTGGTGATTCTCGCAGTACTTTTTTGGCAGTGTCGAGGATATCTCTTACCCTGCCTTTCTGCGAAGCGATGTCATCGTTTAGAGCCTTGTGCTCTTTCAACTGCAGGCGGATTACTTGTGGCTCACTCGATGGCGGTTCCGCTTCACGCAATTGTGCTTCAACTTCACGGAACCACTCGAGCAGAGAATCGACATCACTGAGAACTTCAAGTGAACGTTGTTTACAAAGCTGGAGACGTTCGGCTTTCCTCTGCACCTGTTCGGAGATAGCGTCGAACCGTCTGTTGTCTCGTGTCACAAGACCCTCGATCGTCGCTGCTCCTTCTCCTGGGCCTATCGAGCAAAGCTGTGGCCCCAATTGGTTCACATTCTCCAAAACTGGTCTGAACTCTGAAATTCACACAACAAAGAAAGTTATTTGATAAAATTCAATTAGATTATTAAATAAATTATTTTTTTACCTTGTATGTCCATTTCAAGAGCATGTATACTTTCTTCCCGAGGGTCTGCGCTCTGCAAAGTTGTTTCAGCTCCATGCATCCAATCGACAAGTTTGTTGTGAGAATTGTGGAATTGTTGGACCAGAGGAAGAGCTTCTTGAGCCTGTTTGAGCAAATCTGATCCACGCACGGTGAGGTCGTTGTACCGTCTTTGAAGCGAGTCAAGCTTGTCCTTCAGCTGAATTGCCTCATCACTTGAGATGCTGCGCATCAATTCGTGTCCTGCATCAACTGTAGAATCCACATTGCCTTGCTGGTTTGAAATCTCTTCACTCAGATCCTACAAATTTCCAGATTTCATTTAAAACTTGAACCTGATAGAAATATAATACGATTATGTCGGAACCATGCCAAACTTACAGCTAAGTCCTCCATTTGTGCGTATAGCTGCTCTGTGTGTACTGCTAAAACTTTAAACCTGGAAAGGCGATGATCCATTCCTTCCATCCAAGCTTGGAGTTGCTGATATGTGACGACAAGATGCCTCAACCGACCTCTGGCAGATTCTAGGAGTGTCGCAACATCCTCAGAGGCGTGCACTAGCTTAGAATACCTGTTTGCTGCTTCTTGCACCTGATCGGCAATGCCTGAAGCATCATCATCGCTCACCAGGGAAGCGAGCTGAGATGCGATGTCAGTAAGATCGCTAAGATCTGTTTTTTTGTGGAGGATCTCTTCATGCAGCGCATCGTGTTCTCGAATTTTCTGTTGTATTTTCTCTTCATCGGTTGGAACAAGCTCCATGTCTTTGATTTTCTTTTCAGTTCTCTGAAGCCAGTCGTTAACCGGGTTCATCTTATCGTGGAAGGACTTAGCCACGGCCATAGCCTGCTCCAGAGCGGTCATCCTAGTGGCTGCTTTTTCTGTTAGGTCTTCGAATCTATCAGCAAGTGATTTCAACTGTCTCTCGACAGCTGACCGCTCAGTAGAATCGCAATTAGCGGCGACTTCTCTGCCCATTACAACCAGTGAGCTCATGGAGCCTTGTCTATCAAGAAGCATCTTTTTCAAAAACTACAACAAAACAGTATTATTTAATTACAGGAATCACAACGTTCATATTTAAATATACCTTCTGCTCCTGAAGTTGTGCTTTGACCACTTTGTAATCGGCAGAAGGTGCTTTCTGATTTGCCACCATATCTTCCATATCTGAGAGCCATTTTGATAGACCTTCAAGTGCCTCCTGGAATTTTCCAGACTGGAGAAGACCTGCATTCAGCTTCTTGTCACGATCTGTCATCTATAATAAGGATAACAAGAAATCAAAACAAAATATTAAATTTTAAAAAATCAGTTACCTTTTCTTTGAGGTCATTCCACTTTTCAGAGATACATTCACAATCCCGTTCGACCTGAGCTGTGCTCACACCGGGAGAAGCGGTCTGTACAAGGATTTGACCGGCGGCTATGGCCACCTCGACAGCAGCGCCTGCTGGCTCAACCATGGTAGCCCTCAGACTGGCTGACTCGTCCTGCTGAGACCGAATTGTGTCTGGCTCAGAGCCGACCGGCTTTAGCCTCTTCAATTCGTCAAAAGCACGCTCTACAAGTGTATCTGCAGCGTCTATCTTGTTATTGAAATCTAGTAGTTTTTCAATGGCAGCGTCTAGTGCCTGTTCTCTCTTCCTTGAAGCAGATTCGAGTGATGATAACCGCTTTGAAACGTTTTCTGCCTGTTGGCGAGTGGCATCTGCGGAGAAGCCGGAGTCCACAAGAGCATCGGCTAATGACTGCATTGCGGCCACATCATCACCCGCACGGGCGAGTTTTCCATTGAATCCTGTCAGCTGGTCTTGCTGACTGCGCAATGTTTTCATGTCACGTCCTGGAGGTTTCATAGAAGCAAATTCATCTTCAAGAGTACTCAAATCTGTTGTCAAATGCTTGATTTTGTCCTGTTGGTCATAAAATGTTTGTTATAAAGACTTATTTATATATATTTAAAAAAAATAAGGTACAATTTAGTTGGCTCACATTGTATTGCTGTACAGCTTTAGCTGCAATTTGGGCACGATCGCAACGATCGTCAAGTCGTGAGGAAAGATCATCGAGTCGCTCTGCAAGGGCTGCCACTTCGTCGCCTAAGCCGGATGTTCTACCCTGTGCGACTTGTGATACTTCTTCGTCAAGTTCATCGCAGATGGTACGAAGTGACTCTAGAGGTTTACGCAGAGAGGCAACTTCATCCCTGAGTGAGGCAAGGCGTGCTACAGTTGCAGGATCGGCATGTGCTGAAATTGAATCGTGGCTCCCTAGGCGATCTTCACACCGCTGAACTGAGTGAGAAACGCCTCTGAGGCGGTCGGCTGCATCTACTAAACGGCGTCCAAGCTCTTCAAGAGTAGATGTCTTAAGTAAAAGTTCTAAAAAAAAAAATATATTATAATTTCTAATATATGGGATTGTCAAAATATTAGACTAGTACCATTATTAAGTTTGTCCCAACGGCTTTTGGCAGCTGCGACTTCTTGCAGAACAATGTCTTTGTCGATATCGCACGATGATACAAAAGTATCTCCGAGTGAACGCAGGTGTTCAAATTCTCCAGATTTCTTCCAGACGTCGTTTCTAAAGGTGGCGAGGTCTCTCAGATGCTTATCGAGGTCACGCCGAGAGAAAGAGTCGGGCCGCAATGACTCGAGACGAGATTCAGCCTGCGAAAGCCACGGGACAAATGCCTCCAAGCTTTTGTAATATTTGCGACAATGTTCCATTGAAGTATGAAGTCTAGTGTGTCTCTCAGAAGCTTCACGCTTCAGTTTGTCCCACTGGGAACGGAGCGAGTCTAGGTTTCTTGATGACGACTTGTCTGCACGCTGAGATTGACCTCGGTCAAGTAGCATAATTACCTGATGTTCTCTACTCATGACCTAAGCAAATAAGCGTTTATTACTTTAAAACCTTTTTAAAGATAGATTAGCTGGAAAATAAGACGTGTCTTTTATCTTACCTCCTTGTAAACAGGTTCATGAGCGTCCACTTGTTGTTGGAGGACTTCTCTATCGGCCGAAATAAGAAGACGATCTTGTAAAGAGCTAAGCTCATCGCTCAACCAACCAAGTGTTTTTGCAACAGTAGCATCAAATTCTCTTCCATCTCTGAGAAGACCTTCAATCTCGGCTCTTCGTCTGTCCACCTTCGCTTGAAGAGCATTGTATTGCTTGTTAACTGCAGAGAGCTTCCCTTGAATCTCTGCCCTGGAACCCGCATCGGTGAGGACCTTGCAAAGTTCCTCACCTGCCGCTTCTGCATCTGCCAGTAGTTGGCGAGCTCCTTCAAGCTGTCTCTCACAGGCTTGTATTTTGCGCAAGTGCTGTTCCGGATCTTTTTCAGTCTGCGCGGCATCCACCTGCTCTGAAATGTTCTGGAGGGTGTCACGCAAGCGGTTAAGCCCAGAATCGAATTCCCTACTGGAATCGACTGCAACACCAAGGCATGCAGCACGGTCATCGAGTTTCTTGGCGAGGGCTGACCACCGGTCTGTAACGGATTTGAGCTTTGCTTCAAGCGGTGTCCACTTCGCACGGGTGACCAGTGAAGCCGTAGTCGTTTCAAGGTGAGAAAGCTGTGGTCGCATAGCTCTCAGCTCTTCCCTTAGCACCTGCACCTGTTCAACTTGTGACTGTACCATCCTTGGATCGCTCGATATCGGTCCGAGTGCACCGACCATCCTTTCTTTTGCCGATAACCATGTCCCTAAGTGTTCATGAGTGTCATAAAGATCTTTGAGGTCTTCTAGAATTTGGATCCTGCTCTTGCACAGATCATGCAATGCTTTCCATTTAGCGAGAATCTCCTCGAGCTGTTTCTGAAGAGCTTCTGCACCAGGTGCGTTTTGTTTCTTGCGCAATAACTCACTTACGCTTGACTTAGTGCTTTCAAGGAGTGCTTGCTTTTCATACATCTCCTCAAGCAAACTCTTAACCACTTTGTTTGTCTTATCCGCTTCGTCTTTTGTTGCGCAAAGGGTGTCACGAGGGAGCGCGCGGTTTGTCCTCTCAATGAATCCGTCGAGAGATCTCATGTGCTCTAGTGATTTACGAAGCTCCTCTTTGGTGGTCTCAAGCTCGGTTGTACGCTCGCTCAGTTTCAGTCCTAGTGAGGAATATCTATTGTTAAGCTCTGCCACTTCTTGCTGGGTACCAGTGAAGTCTGAAAAGACAAAACAGAGTTACAACAATAAACAAAAATCAAATTAAAGAAGTAAAAAGAAATATATAAATTCACCTTCAACATGATAAACCTCTTGTGAGGAACGTCTGCTACCAAAGCCCGAAGAAACAGGAGACATAGGTGATGTAACATAAACTTTTGTTGGAGTTGGAGAAGTTAATTCCTGAGAAGATTTTCTTCCAACTGAATTAAAAAAATTAAATTAAATAAAACCATTAAATTGGTACAAATTTAAATAAATATAAAAAACATAGATAAACAGATTACTCACTTGTTGATAAGCGTTTTACAGGGCTCACAGAGCTGCGTCGTCGAGTCGGAGATTCTGGTCGTTCGGTGGCTTCCATTGATGATCCAATGTCAAAAAGGCGATCGATCGTTGGGGCAAAGTCTCTATGTTCTTTCACCAGAGGCTAATAAAAACATGGAAAATGTTACAATAAAATAATAATAATAAGGATTATTTGCTTGTTTTAAAAATCCTAATTACTTTGAGCTCTTCTGTTTGTCTCTTGATTATATCCATGTGTAGTGCAACGGGTTCAAGCCTTCCGACTTTACCTTCAAAAGCGTTAAGCCATGCTACGATCTGATCTCTTAGCTTGTCATAAGCGAGTGCCTGTTCCGCTCTAATCTTTGAAAGTCGAGCTTTTTCATCTAACAGAGTATTCAGGTCTCGCCACTGAGTCTCGATATTCTAGAAAGAACCAAAATCGTATAAATGTTATGAATAAGACCTAAAATAACGGCTTCTATGTTCTGACCTTGATACGGTCACGGACTTGTGAAGTATCCGTCACATCTTTACGGGCAAGAAGAGATCGTCCTTCTCTGAGTACTCTTTCCAGCGGTTCTCGTTTGGCATCTCTTTCCGCTACTACTACATCGACTGCGCCGGCACCGCCAACTGCAATGCCATCATTGGCTTCCTGTAGCCAGTTTTCAACTTCAGTGGCGTGAGATGAGAACTCGTCAAGTGAAGCAGTAACTTCATTCAAGAGTTCAGAGAGCTTGGTCGTTCTTTCTAATAACTTCTCGTATCTAACGATAACAATTATTATATTAATAACTAACCCTTAACCATTCCTAACTATCATGAGTAAGGATTAAAATAATAAAAAGTTTATTAACTCAACATAAAAAATTACACAAAATGTTTGAGCGTGAGGACTAGATGATGAAGCTATTATGGTATAACAATAATACAAACCTGGACAAGACGTCCTTGACTTTTCCATCGATTCGTTTTGCAAGCCTGGGGTTCGTTGCAGAAGAAGTGAGCTGTTTAGCTTGCACCACCACACTTTCGATTGATGATCTGTATGCCACTATTTCAGACAGAGGCGCTCGTACTGCTCTGACCTGTTCCTCAAGTCTGGGCTTGTTTAGAGACGCTGGTCTTGTGAGAGATCTAAAGACAAAAAACGTTCAAGAATTAAACATGTATTTTTAATTATTTGATTAAAACTGCTAACTTTATGTTGTTCTCAGCGTTTGAGAGCCAGGCAACAACGTTCTCCAGAGCGTTCTCGACGCCTTGGCTCTGAGAGAGCGCATTATCTAGACTTTCTATTCGCCTCGTAAGACCAGATGAGAGGGAGTCATACTTGCTGGAAAGCTCTTCGACGGGTAGTGTGAGTTCATTGATCTCACTCCTTGTAGCCTGGCCTTCAACAGACCTTCAAAAGCATTGAAAAGTGAACATTTCCATTTTATTATGTCATAATACAAATTCATTTTTGTACAGTTGATTAAATACCTGATCAATAATTCAAGGCTTTGTCTGAGGTTGTCAAAGAGTCTACTTTGAGCGGCAAATTCTGTGTTCAGGGACTTAGCTCGGACTAGCTGTTCATCGAGCGAGTGCGGATCAGCTGCAAGTGGCTCTGCCAAGATCTACACATATTAAGATTTTAAGTTAGTATTGATAAAATGTAATTTGTATTATTTTTATTGGTTTACCTTGTTTGCACGAGGCTCAGCCGACTGCATCCACTGCCTTGCTCTGTCAAGAGCGGATTTGTATTCCCTTTGTCTTCCGCCTAGGCCTGAAAGTCTTTCTGAGAGTTCGGTAACCCTGATCGACAGGTCTTTATATTCTTTGGTGAGATCAGCAACGAGCCTCCTCAACTCAGAACCTTGGTAGGGCTCGACGAGGCCTGGTCTGGAAGTCAGACCGGCCCTGTATTCGTTGACGCTGTTCAAAAACTCCTTCGACTCATCGGCAAATTTCTGCCCGGCCATTGTGATGAATCGCAGATCGGCTTGGTGTGATATGACGTCGTTGACGAGCTCGGATATGGAATCTCCGGGTCTCAAGTTAGTCATCTTCTCCTTTTCTGTTACAACCCTCTTGGTCTTTTCAAGCCATTCTGAGAACACAGTGGCCTCTGATCTGAATTTGTGAAGTTCCTCGGATGCGGAGATGATCCTCCTGAGCAGCCGCTCAGTCATAACGTTCGATTTGTCGTATCTCGTCTTAAGCGATTTCGAGTTTCTTTCGAGCGATGAGATTTCATCACGTGCAAGGAATTCTGTACCATTCGAAATGATGTTACGTACATCGTCTAAACAACTCTGGACCATCCTCTGTTGTGATTCAATTTCTTCTTTTATCAGCTGAATATTATGAAAAAAATAATAATCGGCTTTAATTAAATAGGTTTATTGCAAACTTTGTAAGTTGATAACATCTAATGCTTTACCTTGAGTAAGTTGATTTGGTCGCGGATTCCATTGAGGCTCTCTTGAGCTGGTTCTTGTTTTGCAAGGCGGTCTTCAAGATCACTCATCCATTCTAAGAGCTGCCTGAGCGAGTCATCGCACAGCTTATATTTCTCCTCCATCGCTTGCTTAAATTGTTAAAAAAACACAGCATTATTACAATGAAAAGTGTATTACACCAAAATGTAATACAAAATGATGATAAGCAAAATAACAAAATAAATAAAAAATGCATGCACATAACTGAAAATGACAAAAATAATATATTTAATGTAAAAATAATACGAGTTAATGTTGATACTTTCGGTTAGACAAGCGATGCGATTATTTGCGAGGATTAGATTTTTGGTTTGTTTTTTTTGTGGCTGAGGATATTTTGGATTAGTTTTTGTTTTCAGGTGGTCATTTTTTTTCTGTATTAGAAGAAAAAAAATTTTGTTGCAGGAATATTTTTTATAAAATACTTTTTCCAAAAGCTGAAACAAAAGACAAAAAACAAAGGATGAATAGGTAATTTTTTTGTTCACTCGTCGAAAGGTATAAATATAAACAAAAAAAGAGAATAAATGAGAAAAACAAGACATGAAGACAAGTACAAAACAAAACAGTGAGAAAAGAACAGAAGAATGATATAGCTTGGGAATAATGAAAGATCAAAACATCCCAATTTATGTAATTTTTTTAAAGCAATTAAATCAAGCCATCAAATCAGAGCATTGAAACGTCAGACAGAACAAATTAACTCAGGTATATACATAAATAAAAACAAAGTTCATGGTCAGAAAATGCTTTGATCTTTACACCCAGGAATAAAAATAAAACACGAAGAAAGTTAATTTTAATGACAATTTGTACTAGCTTACCCTAGACTGAGCCCGGACGATGATGCCCCTGTCCTTCGCCTTGACAAGGTCCAGGTCTTCTCCATCATCTGTCCTGAACCTGCCCCTGACTGCGTCTAGGCTTCCGCTCGATATTGCTTCCTGAACTGACTTAATGGCACCGGAGCGGTCTCTAAAAACGGCACTAGTGCCTGAGACCATGCCAGACCCGATTGCTGCGGCCAAGTTCAGCCGAGGACGGCTCATGCCCGTCTCAGTGGAAAAAGGGTCTGTGAACAGCCCGTTTGTGGGGTTGTATACGCCGTAGTCTATCGAATCTATGAGTGATATATTATCGAGGTATATGATCTCGGACTCCAAACCAGTTTTGAGGTTGTAGAGCCTAGAATTTTTTCGATCTAGAGTATTTCCCTTGTCGTCCGTTATGCCCTTTTTAAATGCTTCATTGATTTTGTAAAATCTACGCCTGCTCGTATCCTTCACGACAATCGTGTTTGGATCTAAATATCCACAGTTGATTGCATCCATTAAGCTCAGATTCACATCGTTGAATTTATAAAGTCCTTTGTCGAGGTCGATTTTATTGTTTTCGATGGCAGTTTTAAAACTTTCCATTATACCTTTGATCAAGGTGAGATCTTTGGTGTGGAACGTATCACCGTCCAAGTAGCCGTACACATCAAGGTCGATGCTCTTGGACTCTATGAACTTTACCAACTTGACGCCTTTCTCTTTTACAGACCAATTTCTCGGGTCAATCAATCCAGAATTTATGGCATCTCTCAGCTTCATTTCACCCTTTATCGGAATTCCAAGTCGCTCTGACCGATCTTTCAGGCTCTCGCGAACAGTGGCAAGATCACCTTTTACAAAACCCTCACTCACAGATTCCAAACTCGGCAAGTTTTTGACATTCAGTGCTCTGTTTTTAAAACGTGTAGTGTTTGGATTTATTAAACCGATTTCTAACGATTTTTCTAAGCTGTTTATACTGTTATCTTCAGGATTAACAATACCCGAATCTCTGATTAATCCCGAATCGTTAATAGCCTCCAAATCTTGATTTTTAACTGTTGAAACTATTTTCTTTTCTTTTACTAGTTCCTTTGCATTTTCTTTAGAGGGCAAGTCTACAAACAAACCATTTTTTAAAAGTTTTGAATTTTCTACATTTGCGTACTCAAGTCCACAGTCATGTCTAACTGCCTCGTAGGGTCCAATTTTGTCAAGATTTTGCACAAGTTCTAACTGATAAGCGTTCTCGAGTGGTATTTCTATATTCTCTTCTTTAAAAACACCTTTCCTCGGATCTAGGATGTTTTTGACCACCGCCTCTTTGGGTGTGAGGAAAACATTGTTTTGAATGCAAAATGGTGCATCCAGGTCGATTTTGTGTTCCCTCAAAGCCAGGTTTAAACTCATTTCCTTCCCGTCTGTAAAAATCCGTCCGTCTTTGTATAGTCCGTCTTTTAAAAACTTTTGTAAAGGAAGTGTGTTTTTAGGCTTGTAAACGCAATTCTGCAATAGTTTATCTAAATCTCCTTTAAAATACTCGTATCCGGTTTTCAAATCGACAAGGCCCATGTCAGTCTTTATTAAATTTTCATCATTTCCTATTAGATTTGAGTCTATTGCTTCTTTCAAACTTAAAAATTCATTTGTTTTAGGATCAAGGAAAAGGTTGTCGGAATAAAGATTTTCATATGCATCCTTCAAAGAACAAGGTACTTTCAAATCGTACAAAACGCCTTTTTTGAAAGCCTGATCCAGTGTTAGTTCGCCCTTCTGGGTTGCTATTCTACCTGTCGTCTTGTCCACCGCCGTCTTAAAGCTTTCAGGGCCAGAATCAGTCCGTACAATTGTCGTATCAGGGTCTATCAAGTTTTCAAGGGCTGTGTTTAACGTTCTTTCATTAAAAAGACCACTCTTTGGAGAATAAACGGCATAATCTACAGCTTCTTTTACACTCAAGATTTTCGGAAGCAAGAAGCCAGCAGCTACGGCCTTCTCTAAGCGTATACCGCGATAGGTGTTACTTTCAGGATCGAAAAGGCCGAGTTCCAACGCTTCTCCGGGTGTCAGAATTTCATTATCATTGACCAAACAAGGTGTATTGAGGATTTTACCGGCTCCCAAATCGGACTTGAGATTTTTCAATTTATATTCTTGAACGGCGGCCTCGGGTAAACTCATAGGCGGTATTTTAGGCAGAATGAAACCTTTCAAATAAGCTTTTTTCAAATCCATTTTAAATGGATAATTGAAAGTACCATTTTCAAAGTCCAAAATGCCCTCAGACTTGTCTAAATCAAGAAGCTCATCATTTTTAGGATCTTTCACGCATGTCAAAGTAGGGTCGATTAGTTTTTTATCTATGGATTCTCTGAGAGTCAAATATTTATTGATACGAGGGTCAAGGAATTTACCGTTTTTATAATAACCGCGGTTTATTGCTTCTATGATTGTAAAAGGATTTAATTTAGTCTTTATTTCATCACCGGGCTTTATGATCTGATCGGAAGCCTTCTCTCCATTTATATAAGAAATATCAGGGTCAACAATTCCTAAATTAATAGATTTTTTAACATCTATAATATTACCCGTTAAAGGATCTCTTAGTGTTATGCCATCGACAATATTCTCTAATGCGATGGGTGGCATTTTCTGCCTCACAAAACCGACTTTAAATGCAGCATCTAAGCTCAAACCGCCGAGAACAGCTTCATTCAAATCTAGCAATTTAGTTTCAACTGCTTCGTTCAAACCTACAAAATCAGAATTCTCATCGGCTTTAACAACAATCTCATCAGGATCGAGAATATTGTCGAGTATGGCTTGGTTCAAATTACAATCCACATTTTCATATTTCACTTTGACAGTTTGCGGATCGAGTATTTTTTGTTCTATCGCTTTATGCAATGTAAGATTTGCACGTGGCTTTGCTTCTTTTGAATAAATCCAGGACATTTTCACCGCTTGGAAAAATGGAATTTTTTGGTCGCCATCATACAGATTGCCATCTTCATCAAACAGGTTTTGCTCCAGGGCTTGTCTCAACGTTAGATTTTTAACAAAGACATCATCAGGATCAAATATTTTATCACAGACTTCTTTAAATGGAATAGTAAATTTTGATTTCTTTGGATCGTAGACACCCCTAAGAGCCAAATCCCGAGGGGATAGTTTTTTGTCAATTATTAAATACTTTTTAACGACAGATCGCCCTTCGACAGTTACATAACCGAGTTTTATCGCTTCACCCACACTCATTTTGCCTTCTGGTCCATTGAATTCTAAAAAGTCATCAGACAGAAGGCCGTTATCGAGAGCGTCTTGTAAACTCAACCCGTTTACACGCACCTTTTTCGGGTCGAGTTTACTGCTTTTCAATGCTTCGGAAAATTTCAACGACTCGCCAGTTTTTGTTAGTATTACCAATGAGGAGGAAGGGTCAAATATAACACCTTTTTCAACATGTAGAGGATCGGGAGATGTATCGTCAAGTAAGATCAAACCGTTTTTAATACAAGCCTCCATATCGTGACCGTTTACGTTACCATGCTTGTCCATGATTCGTTTTTCAATTGCACGCAGAAATGACAATTCACGGCCTCGTTTTAAATCAACAACACGCCCCGATTTTTCATCGATGATACCTAATTTTAAGCATTCTTCAAAACTGACTTCCCTGTCTGTCCCAGGGACGGTGAAAATCCCACGATTCGGATCCAATACCTTTTTTTCAATTGCATCGCGCAAAAGCCACCCCTTATCTGGTACCCTGCTCATAGAATCTAGTATGTTTTTGATATTCTTTTTAAAACCTTTTTCTACAACTTTTATATCCTCAGAAACTAATTTTTTGCCTGGTGTCCCTTCATTGTCTATATATTTTTTCACTGTTTTAGTCTGTGTGGTCAGAGTGATACAAAGGACGCTTTTTAAAGTGGAAAGACCTTCTTTAGTTATGAGTTTTTTCTTTAAAGCTTCTTCATACCCAATCTGTTTGTGTTTCCGATCGACCAAAAGGCCTGTTTTTATGTCTAAGAGGCCCATGGAAACAGCTTCGAACACGGAAAGCTCTTTCCCAGAGCTTTTCACACCAATTTTTTTCATAAGGATATCTTTTACTTCACGACGGACCAGGTTTTGACTTTCGAGCTCTTCAAGAGTCTGGATTTCAGGCATTTTGAATGTCCCTTTATCAAAAATGCCCTCTTTGTGGAGGATCTTGAGTGATTTGTACTCTTCTCCAAAACGGATAAGGCCGATATCAAATACAGATTGAATGTTAACTGTAGAAAAATCACCGTCTTGTACTGCAGATTGGAAAGTTTTGCCTAAGTACAGTCCGTCTTTAATTATTTTCCGATTAAGAGCTTCTTGAAGAGTGATTAAATTATTAGTGTCAGGGTCGAGTATCGTATTGTAATTAGTGTCCAGAATATTATTAAGAACTGCATCTTCCACAGTTAGTTTACCGTATCTCGTTACTATAAGTCCATCGTCCACCATGTCAAAATCAACTGCGTCTTTCAAACTAAGAGGTTTTTCGACATCAGCCATTTTAAAGCCGGTTTTGAGGCCATCTCTAAGTGTGATTTTTTTGTCTTGCGAATAAATTTCATAAAAGTCGGGATTCATGATTTTCGATTTAACAGCATCGCCGAATGTCAATAAATTGCCGGTTTTACGGTCCAAGACCTTCTCGTCGTAGACAAGATCGAGGCTAATGAAATCACTGAGGCAAAACTGACTTACAGGGTTTTCGGCATTTAACAATTCTCGTTGTATTTGCTCAAGGAGGCTTGCTGCTCCGACGACGGGAGCGAGAAGGCGTTGCACAAGCCGTTCTTGTATGACGCCTTGTTCTGCAGCCTCTTTGAGCGAAAGCGTGTCCCCTTTGACACGCACTGTGCCATTGCGCACATCAAGAATGCGTTTCCTGATCGCCTCACCGATTGTGAGTACACGCCCGGTTTCGGGATCTGTGATGCCCTTCTCGTTGATAATCTCGGAGCTCTTTTCATCCTCCGACCGCCCATTCATCTGATTACCCATGTCACAAGTATCAGGAAGCCACCTTGAAAATAAAAGGAACTTATAAAAAAACATCAAACGATATAAGATCGAACTGACTTACTTGCTAGATATCTGTTTCGTGGTCTCGGTGATACTGAACACCGTCCGGAAAGTCCTTAGCTGGGCTGGTTTCATCATCCTTACGAACTCCTAAAACAGGAAGAGAGGGGCGATGGGTCTTACACGTTAATTGTACACGTCGTTAAATGATTATAGTTTTCTAGGTTTCTTGTAAAGTTTTGCTCCATGATGGAGAAATTGGAGTGTAATTGGGTCCTGTCCGAATTGGATAATTAGTGTGTTGCCCACATCATTTTGTTTTCTGTAGGTGTGTGGGTGCCTGATCAATGTCATTATTTTATTTTAATTTTTCTGTAAATCATTCATCCTTGAATATATATATATATATTTTTTGTGGTTAATATTCAAGTTGTATTTTTTAATGAAAATTTGTAAAAATCTCTATTATAGATTTGAAACAAAATCAAAAATTCATGTTTTAATCTTTCTCGTGTCTGGTCATAACATTTTTGTATAAAACAAAACATTAATTAGAACCATTTTGAGGTGATTACTAAGATAATTTTAACTTTAAAGAATTTTATGAATTTAAAATGACAAATATGTCAAATTATTAAATGTAAAAGTGAGGGTAGAGCGAAACATTGTACAAACCTGTAAATCTTTGTCTCCGCTTAGGGCGGCCATTTGTCTGATCCTGTCTTGCATCACCGTCACAAGTGTCAAGAATCGTTGGTTCAAGTTGTCGAGCATCTGTTCCACTTTTGTGGTAGGCGATGGCTCCTCGTATTCAGGCCGTTCGAAAGACGGATTCCATTTCATAACGTCGTCCGCATACCTCCTCAATGAGACTGCATAAATCTGCGTTTTTCCCCGGTTAGTTATGGGGTTAATTGTTAATGCTACTAATCTTTCAATATTAACACCGTATTTCTCATAATCGGACCCTTGTTAATTGAAGTTTAATCATACTCTACTTTATTTTTGTTTTAATAATAATTATTATTACTACTTTTCCTTTTTTTTTTAATTTTTATTTTCAGTTAGATTGATCATGGAAAAGTAAAAGTAAACTGTTGTTTTGTTAAAACTATGATATTAAAGCATTTTACAGCATTTAATAGTTTTTACCAAATTAATAACCAGTTACTTAATATCTATATATACAGGTCACTTAAATTAATGTTAATTATTATTATAAGATACCTTTGCTTCTCTTATAAACCTTCCGCCATCGATATTGACTTGCTCAAGGGGCTGTGTTCTCTCGACAATGCTCGTAAAAAGTACCTGTAAGTTTGAAAATTAAGTATGACAGTAAGGAAAAAGAAAAGCACGTATTCAATTTTATAAACCTTGGTGGGTTCAATGTGGTGTTTGGCATGTGACACCGGAGGAAGTTCATTGAGTTGCTTGTAAGACTCGTCGATGAATTTTACTTCCGTCTGATACGTCTGGCCAAAATTGTCAAGGAGGGAGTACGCAGCTTCGCAAGAGCGCAGCCGGTGTACGAGGTTGGCACAAAGATCGTTCCATCGTTTTGTAACAGAGTTGACATCTTCGTCCAGTCGGTCTAAATCTCCGTGTTCTCTTTCAGATGTGCGGTCTCTTGAACGTACAACGACACGTCTAGTATTTGTAGCGTCGTCTATTAACTGATCGACCACAGGTTGACGGGCAGCTATGGCGTTTTGTAATCTTATCAGGTCGTCATGAACATCTCGAAGGGGTTCGAGTTCGGACGGCATCTCTCCAAAAGAAGCGAGCTTTATTTCCAATTCAGATACGACGTTCCTCGCCTCGTCTAGAGATGCAAGCACTATCTCTACACACTTCATCCTCTCAACATAGAGATGAGAGTAATTCCAGATTGTATTCCACTGTTGGAGTATAGATTCGACTTTGGCAGAATGCTGATGTGACTTACGAGGAAGCGTATTGAACAAAACCTGTAAGCTGTCTATTTCCGGTGTCAAGGATTTAAGATCATTTTCAAAATCTTTGTGTTGGAGAACTTGGCGTTCGAGGGTGTGGGAGTCCCGGGCAATTGAATTGAGAATGCGGTTATTTAGTGTACGTTCATACTCATCAAGTGTTGTCTGAATGCGATTTGACGTTTCTGTGAACTCTCTTAATGCAGCCTTTTGTTCATCTGAAGAAAAAAAAAAAAAATTAGGTATGTAAATTTGTTTTTGACTAATTTGAAACAAACCTTCTTGTCTTGCACGTCTTTCGAGTTCTTCAAACAGTCTGTTCACTTCTTCCATTTCACGTCGTAGACGCCTTAGTTGTGGGTCAGATGGATCACCCTCTGATAAAAGTTTGTCTGCGTCTTCATTGAGAGCTCTACGAATTGCGTTTCTTTGCTCTGAGCCCATGCCAACGAATTGTGCGAGATCCCAAGACCTGACCACACGTATCGTTGCGAATATCATGTTCTGCCGTAGCCTCATGTGTTTCTTCTGCCAGAGGGAAGTAGTCGATTCGAAGGATCGGTTAAGCCTTTCAGCGCCTTCGAGCAGCTCCTTTCCAGGAGGTGGAATAAAGAAAACCACACCTGGCACATTGGTGTCATTAGAACGAGACGACAACGAAGAAACACGCCACTGTGTCAAGGCCGAATTGTCGTGCAAGAGCCACGTGTCTTCTTTCTCAATGTATACCGTATCTGAGGTGTAATTACAGACTGCGGTTACTTGAATAGGCCTGGTCACTGGAAGTCGGCGCTGCCGTATCGGTGGCACTTTGGCAGCTCTCGCAGTCAGCTCGGCGAACAACGGTGCCTTCTTATTTAATTCTTCTCTCATTTCTTGCATGCCTTTCAGAAGGCGTTCCCCTTCATCAAGCGAAAACTCGGATGCGGAATATACTGTGTTGAGCAGTTCATCTCTGCTTTGAAGCCAAGCTTCGGCCTCTCTTAAATCCTTCTGGTACTCTTGGTATTTTCTCGTCGCTTCTGTATGTATCTCACAGGCAAGTGAGAACTGAAGAAGCCTTGACCAAGCTTCTTTTAAAAGCTCAGTCCACCTAAAAAAATAACAAACTTGAAACTTACTGCAACTTACTTGAAAAATCATATTTAAGCAACTATGCAATTTGTAAAAATATAGTTTTCGATACAATACCTTGAGATTGTTTTCCCGGCTGGATGATTTTGAAGGACTAAAGAATTTCCTCGCTCAAGCACTGACCGAACGGAAACTTCTCTCTTTTCTAATTCAGACATCAGATTCTGGAATTAAAGACCTTTAGTCAAAATGCAATTTCTCAATGAGGATAAAAAATTGTAATACGTACATCGTGGTAATGCTGCACTGAGAGTAAATTGATGTTAGGGTCACTCCAATCACGTGCAACTTCGATAGCCTCTTTTTCACTCAACCATGCAAGCTGGTTCTGCAGTGACTGTAGATAATCGAGTAACGACTCAAGATCGCTGAGCCGTTTGTTTGATGTAGTGAGAAGCTCCGAATATACTTTATGAAGTGTGTTTAAGTGTTGTTGGTATAACTGTTGTTCCTCGCCAGTGAATTGCGTTTTAGCCGCAGCACACTGTTCCACAGTAGTTTTGAATCTGTCTATTTCCTTATGTTCTCGTTCATGATGTGAAAGTTCAATTTTAACACCGGCAAGATCGTTACCAAGGTCTGATTCATTAATGAGTTTCTAGAATGATGAGTGACATTAGTACAAATGCAAATAACAAATTGATTATAAAACTTACGATTTTTGCTTTGCACCAGTCGATAGCCTGTTGCAATGAGCGGAAATGATGGTTCGTATCGACGAGTCTTGTTTCTAAAACGGTTCTCGTCTGCCTGGTCACTGTTCTTTCTTCGACAACGGGGAAAGACATGGATGCGAGTCGAGCAATGAGCTTTTGATGGAGAGAGGAGCGAAGCGCGACCCATTTTTGATGGAGTTTGGTCACTCGTCGCTCGAGGCCAGGGGCAGCTTGGTGTCCGACTGTTTTAAGGATGCCCAGGTCTTGGACAAGCCCATTGATGGTTTCTTCTATTGAGCGCATTTCAGATTCAAGAGATTCGGCATTGCGTTTTGCATCAAGCGGATGAAGGCGTTCCAGCCGTCGAGACTCTTCGGTAACGCGAGATTCCACATCGTCCAATCGAGAATCGACCCTCTTACAATCTCGGGAGAGCCTTTCTGCAAGACGGTCTAACCGTTCAAATTTCTTAATTTCATCCTGAAGCTGTTGGTCGCGCTCTTGATGCAATGAAAGAAGTTTATTCCAATTACGTTCGAGCACATCTATATGTAACTCCGGTTCAATATCTACTTCTCCTGTAGACTCGTAAATTTTCTGAAAAGCGATTGAAGATAAATACTAACTCAAAAGCAAAATTTAATTTTTTAAATTTTACCTGTAATTCGGTGTATAAAAGGGAAAGTTTTTGCCTGTCAGATTGTTTGGCAGGGACTTCATAGGTTTTAAATCGAGACGATTCCTGGCTCGCTTTGACGAGGTCCTGAAGTGTAGCAGGAAGGGTACGTTCTGAGAAAACAGAAGTGTATTCGCATATCCAGAGGTGGAGTGATGAAGCAACTTCACGGTATTCTTGAGTGAGCACCTGTGATTCCTATTAGAAGAAATAAAAGTAAAATAAAATATTCAAATTCCAATGAAAATAAATAAATAAAATAAATAATAAATCTTACGTTATCATAGAGTGGATGTTTAGCAGGAGGTTCTGGGAAAACATCATAAATCGAAGAAATGTATGTAATTATGGATTTCTCATCAATTTCATGTGTGTCGACGTCTTCGGGGTCGAGCAGCCTGGTGACTCCGACCTTCTCGGCACTGTAGAAGGCGGTTTCAAGCCTTTCGCGGACTGTCTTCGTCTTGACCGACCTCCAATCGATGAGGTCGGGCCTGTTGCGGTGGATGAGAGCATTGAAGGCAAGGCCATCTCGCCAAGAGGTGGTGAAGTCAGACACCCTGACTTCAGGGTATCGGGCGGTTGATTTCTTAGCCCACTTAAGGAGCACCTCCTTCGGTGAAACATTCTCTTCTCGCTGTGATAGTACTATATCGGAAATCTGTAAAGTAATCAATGGTGATAGTATCACATGAATTAGTCATATGATTTTTTTTATAAGCCATAAAGTAAGGAAGACGGTGGGGGCATGATTGGTTGATTAAAGCATAAATTAATTTTATAAAAATATTGTTGCCCATTGATAGCTTGTAATAAATATTCTCTTTATTTACATAATTGCATTTTGCGAAATTTCTTCACAAAGTCTTTAAGCCACTTATTTAAGTTAGACTTGAAAGCAGGCTTAGTCAATATCAAATACATGGTATCACCTTGTACATCATCATAAACTTTTTGATATTCAACTTATCTTATGTCACAATGGATTAAAGGCAATTTAAGTTTTTTTCCCATCAAGAAACAGGCTTTTTGCACAGAACCTGAAAATCTTTGGAAACAATTTTACAAGAAATGATGAAAATGTTTAGTGACACATACTGCCATTTCACGCCTTTGTTTATTCATATCATCCATGTACAAATTTGTTTAACCAAAAAGATGTTGTTAATAATGAAACAAATACACTTTAAAAACTAATTTAAAAATAATAAATTATTATTATTATTTTATAGTTTCAGCTCAAGATTTCAAAAACAATTGCGTTGATTCGAAAATGGATATTTTTGTAAAACCAGTATAGTTATATTTTGAAAATAAAGAAAAAAAGAAATTATTTTATACACTGCAGAGATTGTTACTCTTAATTATATACCATTTAAAGTAATAAAATGTAGGAGTGATTTTTTTTAATGTTTTGTGAATGTGAATTTTTTTGTTTGCAGATTCACAATAGCTGCGGTCATACCAACCCTTAGGATGACGACGTTTTTTTTGGAGGGGAAAAAACATTTCTAAGTAGTCCAGTTTGAATAAAGGGCTGCTAGAGATTCAAACCTTGCACGTTTACAGTGACAAGCATCGTACCAACGCCTAAATCATAGCAGCTACCGCCGCCCCCAATGAAATGTTAAAAAACAATAAAGAAGAAGCAGGCATCGAATTTGCACAAGAAAAAAATGGTTTTAACTACCAGCAAGATTAATAAATTTTCTCTGTTTTTCTTATAATGATGAATAGAGTAATATATTGATGACTTTGAATAAACAACAATGAACTCAGAACTGATGAGATGAAATTAACTACTCCATAACAATTCAATAATTTTTTTTAACACGCCAACTAATTAATAAATCATTTCAATAAATTTTAGTGTTATATTGGGTTGTCCGGAAAATAATGCAGGATTTTGGTATTAAACAAAAAAAAAGAAACTAGTTACTTTAAAGCAATGTTCTTTAATCAAAANTGACATTCATACAAATGAGTAATCCTGTAAACGTAAACAGAATATTTTATATAGATTTTTTTTAATGAAAACTTAAAATCCTGCATTATTTTCCGGACAACCCGATATGTATGTAATAATAACGGGATCATTCAGGAATTTCCATTTTGATTTTGCAAACGAAGATTAAGAAGATAATCAAATCCATTCTCCATTTCTCCTGAGAATGGCAGTCATCAATAAGATGATACCAGCTTTGTGGAGAAGCTTCTTAAGGGGGCCCCAATTAAGGGTAGGCATAATTCCAAGTTGGTAAAGGTAAAACCTATTATTATCGTGGTAAGTTCCTGAGTGAGGTTGTAGTGGACCCTGAAGTGGTCTGCATTTTACAATTGAATACTGTGTGCTGCTCCTCGGTTTGAGCCATTCTCTATTTCACTGTTTGGAGACTTTTTGAATTAGAATTTCTTTTAGCATCAACAGTGACTTTTTGTTGTAACTGACTTGAAGAGAGGCTAGCTGCTTCCTTGGCCAGCTCGTTTCCAAAGGTACCCACATGAAATGGACTGCTGAGTGCATTCTGTTTTGTACCGATGTAATAATCTTCTTGTTTCTTCTGCAAGCCCTGATCTTATTTGTCATTGTTGAAACTCAAGAGGAACTGCTAACACAAAAGGCAATTTTCCTAACAGCAAAGAGGGTAATATTGTACCAAACTTTGAGCCTGAAGATGATCTCAATGAAGATAAAAAAATTGGCATGATAAAGAAATTTTTTCTAAAACCTACGTCACACCAGACCGCATTTCACGATCTCCAAATAATCACTAATGACAGTGCTGCTCCCGGAGGACATATGCCATGAAAAACCAGCCAATGCTGGCACTTAGCGAGAGGTTTAAAGGACAGGGACGTTTGTGAGCTTGAGGGATGAGAGTAATGATGGAATATTTCCATAAGAGAGGATCTTGAGTCGTAGGATCTTCATTTGACTCTGCTATTAAATTTTTAAATTAGTTTCAGGTAAAGAAACAAATCAAAAGAACCACTATTACCAAACTGTCAATTTGGCTTAAAAAATAAATTAATTAATTAAATTTAAAAATTTCATTAAAAAAATTGCATGTGCAAAATAAAGAAGTGATTTTATTAACGCTGAGATTAATAATTTTAATCAGAGTTGCAAGTAAAAATGTAAATTTAAAAGGCTACTATCGCAAAAGCAACAGCTTGCCAAAAACAAACAGGTGCACAAATGGTAATAGAAAAATGGCAAAAAGGAGATAACAATCGAAAGGTAGGTTGAGATGGGATTTGGTGTCGGTGTGGATCGAAGTCACAATAGCTCAAGTGGTAGAACAGCGGTGTATTTAGCCAAAGGTCGTGGGTTTGAATCCGCTTGTGACACTGACTTTTTCATTTCAACCAATACCTTACATAAGGATTAATTAATTGAAAGAATGGGTCAATCGGACCACGAAATACAATGGAGGTAACAATAATCCTATTCCTAAAAATTGAACATAACAGTTTGTAGCACAAGAAAAATTTACCACGGACACAAGATTAATAATATTGATCAGAGTTGATAATAAAGAAGTGGGAATGATAAATTTATTATAAAGGTGATCCTATCTGTACCAAAATGCCAATTTGCCTTAACAACAAATAACAACGACAGGGGGAATAATTTGCAAATGCATATTGCACAAGAAGAAATGATGATATGCTGGTGAGATTGATTTGATTTATAAAAGCAACTAAGGAGGAAAATTGGAAGGACTATTATTGCAATATCCAATCCCTCCTAAGTACAGTCGAAAGTGTGTATAACAGGAAATACATTTTATGTGATATTTGAAACCAATGACGTAAAATAACTCCAAAAGCGTAAATTTTTGCAAAATCAGGCCGTACTGTTTGTGGACAAGAAAAAAAAGGCTTCCTAAAAACACTTTAGATATATTCTGCCCACGCTATAGCACGCAAGAGAAGATGTCATAAGATCGAATTAAAAAAAAAAACGTCAATTTCCCATCCGAAAAACCGTACCGGTGGTCCAAAATTTGGAACATTTGGCACCGTTTCGTCGTGCCAAGGGCACCTGCACCCGCCATATGGCACTCGTTTTTACTTTTTCTGGTTCCTCAGGGGCCGTTGCGCAACAGGAAATTCCTTTCCTACGCGCAAAATAACAGCTCGCACACCTGACCTAATATCATAAACGGTAGAGCAAATCGTAAAAAAAAACCACTTCAATTTGGCAATAGCGAGACAAGAAATCGAAGATCGATAAACGTGGGATGTCAAATGTTACACGTTGGTGACAATCAAGAAAAACCTTAAATTTTGCGCAAAACGAGTAGGTTTTCCCCCTTAACAAAGCTATACTGAAAGATTACAAAAGTACAAAAGCCGAAAGCACGAGGTTATAAAGTTAAATAGGCAAATTCTAGTATTTGAAAATTTCTTAGTTGTTGCTGTCCTTTTTCTCTTCCTATAGATCAAGTTCATTTTGACTTCCTTTCGGAAAGACCGTTTCAAGTTAAAACATGACTGATTTGTTTGAAATCAAGGCTGGCACAAGGCAACATCTTAGGCCCCGTGCTGTACTCGCTGTACATTACCGTTGCAACGCTTGCTATGCACCTACGAACCGGCTTCAAATGGCAGTCAACAGTATCCATGAATGGACAGATACATGGAAAGAACCTATCGGATCCTTTAGGGACAACGATGGAAAATCAAATTACACAACTCACCTAATAGAATATGACCACGAAACAACGACAATGCAAACAAGTATGCAACTATTACACAACGTACAACAGAAATAGATAAACATAACACATTTAACACTAAAAAAAAATCATAAATACATAAATTAACAATAACTCACAAACTTCATTCCTACAATTTGAAATATTACACAAAATAAAAAGGAAAAAGACCAACTAGAACAATTATTAATTAGCCAATGTAAAATTAATACATGGTTTCATTTGACCAGTTTTAATAAATGTATTAATTAAAAAAATAGATGAAATTTTACAGAAATGAATTCCTCCAAAATGGCACTACTTGCCGAAACGCTAAGAAAAATTAAATTTTTCTTTTAAATTTTACCTTAAAAAAGTCTTCAAAAATAAAAGAATAGGATTCTATTCCCAAAGAGGACGTGAAGGACGATTTTGAATGTGGGATATTATTTTGTTTCTTGTTGTACTGGACGTGTAGCAGATTCAGCATAAGAACATTTTATGTTACCGTTTGGCAAATGCCAGAGATGTTTTTCCAACATCGCCTGTTTGATTTTCGAGTCCTTTAATGCAACGTCCGAGATTGAATAAGGATTTCGCAACGAGTCCTTGACTCCTTACCGGGGCTACTTATACCGGAGGAAAGCTAATAACCTTTTGTGGAAGACGGACGCAACATACGAAATTCGGAATTTACAAAAACGTCCAAATCAACCCCGACAGATGCGCGCCGTTGCGAAAACTATTTTTCTTGGAATTCCGTCCACAAACCGGCATTGACCCGGTTGAAAAAAGCACCTTGTACATCTTTTCGACCCGTTCTGTACCGTGGGTGATTTAATTTAAGGACGTAGGCTTTCTGCGCCGAGCCGATCCCATTAAACACGGAATATTGGATGAAGACGGGAAAATTTGTCAACAACTTTCGCCTTGTAACACTTTCCAAATGTATCACAGA